CCGATTTTTCTTAAAAAAAATTAAAAATCGGTTGTTCAATCGGCCGACGTTACCAGGAACGGTAAAAAAATCGGCCAATTTTCATACCGTCTACAGTCGGCAAAAAGTGTCTCTGCAGAGAGCTCCGCTATTTCTTTGACAGTTCTTTGACATTTATAGAGGCTGCAACATTGTATCTATTTGTATCCATTTCGGATACAGATTTTTTTTTAGGAAACAAATAGATACATTGTTGCAGCTGCTACAAATGTCAAAGAACTGTAAAAAAAATAGCGGAGCTCTCTGCAGGGACATTTTTTGCCGGACTGGAATTCTCTTCTTCTTCATCCTCTTCTTCTTCTTCATCCTCTTCTTCTTCATCATCTTCTTCTTCTTTCTCTTCTTCTTCATCCCCTTCTTCTTGTTCTTCTTCATCCTTTTCTTCTTCATCTTCCTCTTCTTCATCCTCTTCTTCTTCTTCTTCTTCTTCTTCTTCTTCATCTTCTTCTTCATCCTCTTCTTCATCTCTCATCTTCTTCTTCTTCATCTTCTTCCTCTTCCTCTTTTTTTTCTTCCTCTTCTTTCATCCTCTTCTTCTTCATCCTCTTCTTCTTCATCCTCTTCTTCTTCTTCTTCTTTCTCTTCTTCTTCTTCCTCATCTTCTTCTTCTTCCTCATCTTCTTCCTCTTCTTCCTCTTCTTCTTTTTCATCTTCTTCTTCTTCATCCTCTTCTTCTTCATCCTCTTCTTCTTCTTCATCCTCTTCTTCTTCATCCTCTTCTTCTTCTTCTTCATCTTCTTCTTCTTCCTCATCTTCTTCTTCTTCCTCATCTTCTTCTCTTCTTCCTCTTCTTCTTTTTCATCTTCTACTTCTTCATCCTCTTCTTCTTCATCCTCTTCTTCTTCTTCATCATCTTCTTCTTCTTCCTCTTCTTCTTCTTTTTGTCTTCCTCTTGCAGGTCACTGCTCATGCGCAGATTTTTTATCGGTAAAAAGATCGGCCGATTTGCCCATCATTGCCACGAAAATCGGCCGAGCCGATCCAACTTTACTGATAAAAAAATCTGCCAAAATACTGAAAAACGGCCGACCTATTAACCCACTAATGATCTGAAAATCGGCCGATTTTATTTTCGGCCGAAAAATCGGCCGATTTTCGACCCATCTATGGCCTGCATTATAGTGCACCTGATTGAATGCAAGATTGTATCTGCTTGTGTGTGTTCAGCTTCTTTACGTGAACAGCTGTGAAAATGTGGAATAGATTTCCTCATTAGCAAAGTCCAGCCAATAGCAGGTTGTTTAAAAAAAAATGTCTGGGTGTGTTTTTACATGCACAAATATTACTAGCTATTAATATTATGAGAAATAACATTGCAGTTTGCTGTTCCAGGTAATATGTATATATTATTTATCAGGAAGGAATTTTTTTCTTTCTGGATCACATTTTAAAGAGTTTTTCTGCCTTCCTGTGGATGAATTGCAGGTTCAGGGTGCCGAGCATGCAGCAACCTTTTTAATTTTATTTTATGTCTTTTGGTTGTACATGTTCTCTTTTCAACCTAATTATGTAGCTATTATATATGGTATCACATAGTATATCACATCATATCATTAATATATTTCTGCACACCTTGCATACACACATCTCTCCCTCTGCTCTTTTCCCTCTCTCTCTGTCTCCTCTCTCCCCCTTCCCCATCTATTTTCCCTCTCTCATTTACCTCTCTCCCATTCCTTCTCTTTATTTTTATATCCCTCTCTCTTTATTTTTATCTCCCTCTCTCTTTCCTCTCCCATGGAATATGTTTGGTCTTTCAGGTGTATTTCGGCCGCTGGTTGATAGAAGGGAGTCCATACGTTGTGCTGTTTGATATCGCTTCAGCTGCCTGGAATTTGGACCGCTGGAAAGGGGATTTCTGGGATGCATGTAATGTAGGAATTCCCTTCCATGACCGTGAGGCCAATGATGCCTTATTATTTGGGTCCCTGGTGGCGTGGTTCTTGAAAGAGGTACAGTGCTACTTGAATTTGTAAATTTATATTCTAACAATTGTATTTGTTTCCAGGGTCCGTTTGCTCAAAATATGCAGTATTTCCTACTCAACTGCTCTGTAAAACATTCCACCTCTTGTTCCCCCCTGCTGGTGAAACCTGGCATTGCAGCCTATCTGGTCACATGTGTGGGTCTATTTGGCAATGTTTTCATCAAGATTAACACTTAAAGGATAAGTTCACCTTTTAAAAAAAAATGCACATTTTTTTACAGATACAAAAATGTGTATTTACTAATTTTTATAGGATCCTGGAAAGCATTGCACCAGCGATTAGCAGATTGCTGGTGCCATCCAGAACTCCTGCTGACTGTCAGTGTGAGCTGTCTGTCGTACAGGCAGGCAGTTTCACACTGGCAGGAAGAATCAATGAACTACCACAATGTTCAACAGTGCCGTGGTAGTTCATTGAGAACTACAAGCCGACATTAGCAAAGGATGTCGGTACTTGTAGTTGATTCACTCACAGAACTCTGTGAATGAATACTGAAGCCGTATGGGCCCAGCACTGCACAGCCATGCTCTTTTCAAAAAGTGACAGATTATGGGGAACTTCTCCCTGTACTGCTGTCACACACACGGGTCTCAGATCGCTGCGCAGGAGCAGGAACATGTTACATGTTCCACGCTAAAAATGGGTGGAACATGTAACATGTTCCTGAAGATTCATAGATGGTTCACATACAATTCAACAAGAGTTCTGGGGAGAAAGGAGGAGAGGGAAGAGGGTTATTTAATGGGAATAGTTAATTGTATGTATTGACAATCTTTTGGATATGGTAATTAAATTAAAGAGAGAATAAATAGAAAAAAATCTTGAGTGAAAACATGGATAAACCCTTATCAAAAATATTTGTAATAGTTTTAATTATACAGAATTTGCTATGCATGAAACTAACTAGAACTAAATTGCTTGCATTTTTGTTCATTTGCCTGCGTATTATAAAATCTATATGTTGGGCATTTTCATAAATATATGACCAAAAATTCAAATTGGTGTGAAATTCATTTTGATATGCAAATTGGTAAATGAAAAAGGTAATTAAGTAAGCAAAGGCCTATGTCATCATTCCCGTCAATGGCAAGTTTGCATTAGCATATGCCTTACTCCCAAAACTGCTGCCGAACATAAGTTGATGGTTAGAGAGCGACACATACGAGCAAGTGAATATTTTAACTCCTAGCTGTGTCCTCTATAGCCTTTGAGTTCTCTCCAGAGGCAGAACTGCAAGTGTGCCTTCAGCTTAGTGCATAACAAAACACTCGGTCTGGTCACAAAGGTTCCTACTACCATTGGACATGAAGGGGTTAAGAGGCCTTTTGGCTAAGGTCAAGTGTTGCTTTGTCTGGCCAGGGGCTGGGCAGGCAGAGAGATTCTGATGTTGTGCACCCCCCTGGGAGTGGCATCCTGGAGGTGCTCATGGTATCACCATGGGCTTGGGACGCCACTGTGAGAAAAGGCATTAGGCCACAACATCATTTGTTTTTCTAACATCTCATGGGCTAGACCTTTTGGCCAAGACTGGGGCAATTTTTGTTACCAAGCTGCAAGGCCTAGCCTTTGCACCTGCGCTGGCACCTTTTTTTTTTTTTTCCCCTCTCCACATGTGTGTCACCTGCACTTAGGTGTCTTTTTCGCTCTGATTGTAGGATGTGGGTCTTTGTGCATACCCTAAAGTCTAGGGGGTGGGTCTTCTGCCTTGGGGGGGGTCTCTCTTCAGGAAGATATATCATATCTGCTCTTCCTGCACTTCTAGTGGCCCAAACTTTTCTAGGATCCTTGAAGACCCCCAATCCACCTCTCCACCATTAGCACTCTCCGCCGGCTCACCTGAGGAATGGCTCTCCTCACTCACTGGCTCCTTCCAGAAGGATTGTACAGGGCTGGGGGACAAGGCTGGCATCTCTGGGACATCAGCTGGCTGGTCTTGGGCAGTACCCCTAGTCACTGGCCCGTCAGCAGCATCATAGGTTACAGCAGGCCAATCTCTGATGATAGGGTCTATTGATGGCGTGAGCGAGTAGCGGACCTGGGACTCCTCTGACCTTCAGTCATTCCTGCAGCTCAGTACATAGTCCCATGTGCAAGTTGGCCATATATGTGCATGGTGACAGATCGCTGGGTAGCAGCCTGGTCAGTGGCACCTCACAGTGCCCACACCTGATCTATGCAGTCGGTCACCTACATTCAGGACACAGCATACACAGTCTCTCAACTCCTTCCATGATCCCCAGAGCACAGCAGCAGCTAAGCTCCAGGCACACCCCAGTATCTACTAGGGTGATCTCTGGCACAAAACTCTGTACACCAATGGGACATGCAGCCGCCATTTTCCCCCTCTCATGCTCTCTCACAGCTGGGTGTACTGGGCAGATATATGGGCATGGCCACCTCATGATTGCAGGTTTCTACTCAGCCCTCCTAGCCGACAATTGAACTAGAGTTCCCACTAGCCAACTAGAAAGGTGCTACATTAGCTTCCTGCCTAAATGTTAGCCCATACTGCTGCACCATATAAAAAAACAGTAACCACTCTCGTTATGGTCACTACTTCCCAGAAAGCTTCCTAATATAACCTCACCAAACAGAAGCAGAGCTGGCACTTAAACCATGGAGCTATTAATAAAGTAAATCTCACACTCAAGCTATGGGGATCTCCAGGATCCAGTCAGGGGAACTACTAGGGGAACCACATACCTGTCCTGTCCTTCCCTGCAAGTGGAGTTAAGGCATCACTCTGCCAAGCCCTTTCCACAGTCTGTCAGCTTATCCCCATTTTTAATGCTAAATTTTCCATGTCAAACTTTTTATAAGGTGGAGAATTCTCACAGAATCAGAACTATTTTACTGACCTTTTATAGATAGTCCCCACACTCTCTCCAGCAATGGTAGCTTTTGTTATATTGTGTGGAGCTTCGCAACTCTATATGGTGCCATTATATGAAAAATCTCTTGTGATTTCTGCAGATGACGGATCAGTTCCAGGACAAACCCAACATCATTGCTCATTTCCATGAATGGCAGGCCGGAGCCGGATTAGTTCTTTGTAGGTATCGGAATCTACCTGTTGCCACGATCTTTACCACCCATGCCACCCTGCTGGGCAGATACCTTTGTGCTGCCAATGTGGACTTCTATAACAAACTGGACCAGGTAAGGGGTCCTCCATAGGGGACTAATACCACCCCAGTCCACTTCTTTCCTGTATCACCAGCACAGCAGCAGGAAATTCATAGCAGAATGCACAGGGAACATGAGTGTGTCAGTAAATGGGCATTTAAAGGGTCACTCTGCTCAAAACTGATATTTAAGTGTTTGATGGATTCTGTAGGGTGAAGCACCTGACAGTTTTTTCTGTCTCTGAATTTTTTTTTTTGCAAGACTTTATAAGGCCCCTTTCACACGGGCGGTTAGATGTCAGCTTTTAGCTGCAATTTAGAGGAACTTATTTACCGCAGCTAAATGCAGACAATGCATTGTTATGGCTCCATTCACACACTGCGTTTAGCAACGTTTTCATAACTAACGGTTTTATGCGTTTAGGAAAAATAAAGTTGACAGCGTCCAGGAGTGACGTACTGCAGCATCTGTACATAAACGCAGTTAATCGCAGTACAAAGAAAAAAATAAGTAAACAGTTGCTATAGAAAATGCAAGAATTTACTACCACAGCTAAACGCAGTCGCATGTAAACGCACGTAAACGCATGTATAAACACAAGTGATCTCTGTGCCAGGAATGTTGGAATTTCAAAATTAAAAAAACATGCATTTACAAGCGTCAGAACAACCACCCGTGTGAAAGAGGCCTAAATACTTTCCCTGCTGGATATTTCATTTATTTTATAATAGTATTAACTTAATTTTTAATGTAATGATTTTTTTTAATCAAATAAAGTTTTATTGAGACACCTTAGTAAGGTGCAAGGACTTGCAGTGCGATTCAGTGATACAAAAAAAGTATCAAATCACACTGTTAACATTGTTAGATTTGTGTGACAGAGATACAAATCACAGTAGAGTTATCAAAATGTCAATAACAATCAAGTGTTTCAGTTAGGTAGCCCGCTAGAGGTAATATTGGCATGTTTAAGTGCATAAGAAAAAACTAATAAATTAAACATAATAAGCCCTCTTACAAACTGGACGTTTTTACAGCTGCTGTTTTTGGCTTCAGGCTCTTTTTTCTACAGCCAGGATACTCCCCAGCATGTTATCCTATGTGTCCATGCACACATAGGCTTTAATCAGCGTTTTTTGGCAGGGGCTGGCTGGAAAAAAAACCAGAACTAGTGGGTTTCAAGAGGAGTTTTTAGCTGAAATGCTCTAACGCTGATAAAAGCTGAAAACCGCTGATAAAAGCTGAAAAATGCTAAATAACTTGGCTATCTGGCGTTTATGAGTGTTTTTGAGCCTGAAGATTTTGTGGGTGTATACCTTTGCTAAAAAACACAAACGCTGAAAAACATTAAAAACGCTGAAAAAGCTAATGCAAAAAAACTGAGGTTTTTATTGCAGCATTCTACAGCTAACACTACTAGTCTCCATGCACACGGGGCGTTTCATAACGCTGGTAACGTTAGCTGTGTAAAGTCACGTTAAAAACGTGAGTTTTTTTGCATTAGCGTTTAGCGACGTTTTTCTGCGTTTGTGTTTTTTGCATTTTTTTTTACCCCCCCCAATGTTTTTTGCTCAAAAAAGTCCAAAAATGCTGATTTGCGGTGATTTTCCGCTATTTACTATGTTTTGCTGTGTTTTTCAGCGTTAGAGCATTTTTACAGCTGAAATCCACAAGTCCTGGATTTTTTTCCAGCCAAAAAACATCCCTGCCTAAAAACATTGATTACAGTCTATGTGTGCATGAACACATAGGATAACATGGGGGGGTTTACTGGCTGTAGAAAAAAATATCAAAAGCCAAAAAAGAGCCGCTGTAAAAATGTCCCGTGTGCATGAGGCCTAAGGCAATAAAAAAAAAACAAAACCTGTGAAAAGGCTGGCAATTCATCCGATCACAGTCCTACCGCCTACTATCTAATGATCATTCAGAATTGGTTATCCTCAACCAGAGTGGCAGTATATATAGTGATAAATGGTGAGTCCGGTTTGCTGCCTATCATACCAAAAAAATGAGTAGCAAAAAATGTGCAAAGGATGTAATAATTCTCAGACCTGCAACGATCGTTCCATAACCCATTACGAAGGGGCCAGCCCTGGAGTCCCAAGCCATGCTTGCCAAAGAGAAAATAATATACGGTGAGCATTTCTATATTGATAGTTTTCCCCGGATCAGAATATAATGACCTGATCAATCCAGTGTTGTAGGAATATGAGAGATGTAGAGACATTCAGAACCGGGCTATATTTGTTTTCAGGCTACATACAAAAGTCAGATAATGGTTATGTGAAAAATGGAATGATATTTCATTTTAGAATATGTACATTTGATGCAGGGGCGGACTGACAACTCATGGGGCCCCCAGGCAATAGGGGATCATGGGGCCCCTGTGTTCTTGCCCACACTCAAAAAAAGCCTATAAAAAGGTACCAGGGGCATTTCATGGGGCCCCCTACTGACCCCGGGCCCTCGGGCAGTGCCCGAGTTCTCGAATGGTCAGTCCGCCCCTGATTTGATGTATATTATAGGAATCAGTGAAGATGGGTGGAAGGCAGGAAGAGATAATAGTAGCTGAGCTTCCAGACACGACTTAGAATTAAAATGTAACACTTTGGCTGACTAACAGTATAGATCTTTCATTGGCATCCCTCCATGGTGATATCTGCATTACGCACTGCACCAGGTGTGCGGGGGAAATGTTTCTGCTCAAAATCACAGCATTGTGTCAGCTATTTCCAGAAAAACACCTTCTAATCTTCCTAAAAATATGATTAACCCCTTGGTGCTGAGCGAATGCACTGCGCACTAACAACACAGAGACCAGGGTTTCACTGGCAGCCCCATGTCCCGTACTAATGATCGGGACCCAAAACTCCCAATTCTTGGTCACCTGATCGCTGTGATAGCCTCTAATTGGCTATGACAGTGAGCAGACAATGTGAAGCCCGCCCCCATGTTTTCTCTCCATGTCTGTAGGAGAGAGATTGGGGTTGATTTAATAACAGCAAATAGACTGTGCACTTTGCTAAAAGTGCAGTTGCATTCTGCAAGAGCAGTTGCTCCAGAGCTTAGTAAATGGGCAGAAGCTCTGATGACTTCCATCATCCAATTGTGTGCAGGCAAAAATGCTGTTTTTTAATTTTTACTTGCATGTGATTGGGTATTCTTTGCAAAGAGAAGCTTTACCTCATTTACTAAGCTCTGGAGCAAATGCACTTGTAGAGTACAACTGCACTTTGCAAAGTGCACAGCAGGGGCGGACTGACAACTCATGGGGCCCCCCGGGCAATAGGGGATCATGGGGCCCCTGTGTCCTTGCCCAAACTCAAAAAAGCCTATGAAAAAGGTACCAGGGGCATCTCATGGGGCCCCCTACTGACCCGGGGCCCTCGAGCATTGCCCGAGTTTCCAAATGGTCAGTCCGCTCCTGGTGCACAGTCGATTTGTCTTTAGTAAATCAACCCCAATGTCTCTCCTACAGTCATGGAGAGAAAACATTTGAGTGGGCTTCACAGTGACTGCTCACTGTGATAGCTAATCAGAGGCTATCACAGCGATCAGGTGACCTAGAATCAGGAGTTTTGGGTCCCAATCATTAGTAGGGGACATGGGGCTGTCAGTGAGACCCTGGTCTCTGTGTTGGGAGCGCGCAGTGCATACGTTCGGCACCAAGTGGTTAATCTCTCTCTTTCTCTTTTTCTCCCCCCCCCCCCCCCCCTCTTTCTCTCTCTCTCTCTCTGTCTCTCTCTCTGTCTCTCTCTCTCCTTGCAGTGAGAAAAAAAAGACAACAGTGTGTAAAAATACATAATAATAAAAAATAAAATACATCAAAAAAATTAGATCTAGGTCCGTGCCAGGGTTAGTGTTTGGGTCAAGTTAGGGTCAAAGGTCAGGGTCAGTATTTTTGGGGAGGCAGGATTATGAATTTTTTTTTAAATGAGTATCAGCGTTAGTTAGTGTCATTGTGTTTTAAGTAGGATAAAAATATAAAATGTACTACGGGCAGTGGTATGGGCACGCAACACTAAAATCGGGTGCCCCCCACCCCACCAGTAAGCCACCTCATTTGGCAGAGGTGTCCCCATTGGAAAAATCCCCCCCCCCAGCAGGGACACAGACACCAAAAAACACACGACAAGAGCTTCAGACCTTCCACACTCTATCTATAACTACCAGGGGTGGACTGAAAACTCATGGGCCCCCCGGGCAATAGGGGATCATGGGGCCCCTGTGTCCTTGCCCAAACTCAAAAAAGCCTATGAAAAAGGTACCAGGGGCATCTCATGGGGCCCCCTACTGACCCCGGGCCCTCAGACAGTGCCCGAGGTTCCAAATGGTCAGTCCGCCCCTGATAACGACAAATGTTCAGACATTAGATACACTTTAATATCATTTTTTTATTCTTTGTTTTGCTGTTTGGATCGCTTAGCCTTCTACAGAAGGTATTGCTGTGATTTCTATTAACCATTTCATAGAATATATTCTTCATTGACAGATTGGTGCCCCCATTGTGTCTAAGGAAGGGGGGGGGCGATATTTACTATAATTTGTTCCTGTCTAGAATTCACAGATGTGGTATTAGTCAGATGCGGAGTGAAGGATGTCAGCAGCTGCCCTTTGTACACGGTCGGCCTTTAAAGGTTAATTCTGGGCGATTCTGCTACAACCCATCCCAGGCAGTAAATGACTTGTCTGACCTTCGCGGCATGAGGTAGAACATGGCGATCACTCCCCCCAACAAGTGATGACCCCCCCTTCACTTCCTCGGCCTCACTAGCTTCCACCTTTGTGGCCTTTGGGCTCAGCTGACCTTTCCTGGGCACAGACACCCTCATTAGGACATTAGATATCTTAACATTTGTCATAAAGTTCCGTAACAGAGCCAGAAATGTCCAGCGTAGGATGAGCGCAATCCGCCATCATCTCTTGTATTACTGCCATGTAAATGTCAGGTGTTCATGTAGGGGGGGAGGGGGATATCCATATTTCATTTGTCTGGTAGTTCAATCCAGTTCAGAAGGTCTGTATAAATCTGATCTCCAGCCTTCCCTTCAGTCTTGCACAGTACCGGCTCCTCTTCTGTACTGAAACTGCTTACTTTGATTTCACTGCACACTGTGAGCTTCTCACAATATGCATTAGAAGCTGCAGCATGCCAGATAGAGCCTGCGTCATTCCATCTAGGTGTCAAACTGGCGGCCCTCCAGCTGTTGCCAGACTACAAGTCCCATGAGGCATTGCAAGATTGACAGTTACAAACATGACTCCCAAAGGCAGAGGCATGATGGGATTTGTAGTTTTGCAACAGCTGGAGGGCCGCCAGTTTAACACCCCTGCACCTTCCTCCCTAACCTGATTTTCCTTGCCCCACCCCATTTCATTCGTTGATGTTTGCATAATTCCTCTCAAAAGCTAGTTCACAGAAGGCACTTGAAAGGAATACATCAGCACCCAGCCAGCCCTTGCCCCTTTTCAGCATCCTTCCACCCCTTGCCACCAGCCATGATCTGTCATAAACTGTAAGAGCTCATGTACACTGCAGCTGATAAACTCACGTTTAGGAGCTGTTCTGCATTTTTTTCAGCAGCCCCTGAACTCTCCTTAATGTTTTCCTATGTGTCCGTGTACACATCTTCATTTACATTCGTTTACAGGCATTTGAGTTTACAGTCTTTTTTTTGAACGCAGAAAACTTGAGTTCAGCAGTTGATTTTATCAGCGTTTCAAACGCAAAATGCTTGTAAACGGAGTTTATAAGCATTTGCGTTTGAAATTTTTTTTTAACTCTTCCAGTTCCCGATGCTGTCCAGAGCTTTTTTACATCATGAAAAATGCATGCAAAGTGTTTTCAAGGTACTCAAATGGACAAAACACTGAACACAGGATGTTCCTACCAAGCTTGTCACACATTGCAATGACCAATTCACACCTCAGACCTCTCCCACCCTTGGAAACAAAAGATATGTTAATGACCAATCACACCTCAAATTCCTCATGAAGACCCCCTGCCAGGTGACCTTAATGACTCACTCCACCAGACATCTTTCCCACCCTTGGAAACAAAAGAAATGTTAATGAGCAACTCACACCTAAACTAATCTCAACACATACTGCTGTCTCTGCTTCTACTCTCCGTATTTCTCTGAAACAGTCTGAAATAGTTAATAATTTACCACTTTTCAGTGCATTCTGGGCATTTGGGAGGTTCTCCTGTGCTTATCTTTAAAAAAACACTTCTAAATGCAAACGCACATAAACGCGCATAAACGCGTTAAACAAATGAGGCTAAACAGCCGTTTTTTAACCTACATTTTGCAGCAGTCAGTTTCCATCGTTCAGAAGTGTTCCGTGTACATGGGGCCTAAGGCTCCTGTCAAGAGAACCAGAGAGACAGATTGCACGGAACCTGACGTGCGGGAGTTTATTGGGGAGGTTTTTGGGGCACAGACAACAGTTCCTTTAGTCCACAGATCCACACCAGACACAGCAAACACAGTAAAGTTCTCTGGAAGGCAATATGGAACAACAGGGGTATGGTAATCCACAGGGTTCAGTAAGGCAAGGGCAGGGTGGTTTTGTGGGACTTCGGGTTCCTGGGGAGAATTGGGCACAGTCTTTTGGGCAGCAAGGGGTTAGTCCACTAACTGGATGCGGGGAGCCGGACACAGAGGGCTACAGGCCACACCGGCAGCACAGAGTCAATCCACACAGGCAGCTCCAGGCAGGAAAGTGTTAAGTCCGTCTGGCTCACGGGCAACAAAGAGTTAAATCCAGGCAGGGAAGGTGTCCAGCCTGCAGGCTCACAGGGAACAAGAGGTTAAATCCAGGCAGGGAAGGGATTCCAGGGCAGCAGAGAGTTCACCCTACACAGGAGAGAGATCCAGCAGCAGACGGGCAGTCAGGTCAACCAGGGAGAGGAGAAGGGGGACGGGGGTTGGTCGTCTCCGAGAGAAGCTGGCACTTCAGCACAGCCTTCTCTCACCCAAGCAGCCAAGAGAACACCAGGGGGCTTGCCCTGCTCTCTCTCTTAAAGTACAGAGCTGGGAGCCTTGCTGCTGCAGTGGTAACCCGAGACTTCCTGTCGGGTTACCATGGCAATGGGCCCTGTCCCCCAGGACTCTGAACCTGCCCAGGGAACACGGCCTTTGTCCCTGTCCAGCATGGAGCCCAGGAAGATGTGCAGAGAGGGAAGGGAGGGGGGTGGGGGCCTGTTTGTGGATTCCCTCAGCAGGGGGCCAGACTGCAGGGGGCCAGACTGCCGGTGACAGGGGGGTAAGGGGCTGCTGAGGGCTGCCTGTGTCAGGGACGTGGAGGACTAGAAGTCCCAGCATGGACGGGACAGAAGAGTGAGGGGTTGCTGAGGGGTGGGGGGTGGCAGGCAGCAAGCCCAGAGGATGGGGAGGAAGGGCCAGCTCCATGACAACCCCATTCACACTAGCGTTTTTTAAGCTAAAAAAACACTAAAAAAACACTGGATAAAATAACGCTGGTAATAGAATTTTATAGTTATTATTTATTATCATTATTATTATACAGGATTTATATAGCGCCAACAGTTTGCTCAGCACTTTACAATATAAAGGGAGACAATACAGCAATAATACAGTTCAATACAAGAGGGTTAGAAGGGCCTGATCCTGGGAGCTTACAATCTCAGTACCGTTTAAAAGTGTTTAGGAGCATTAGCCTTATATTAGAGTTTTTGCAGTACATGTAGAAAAAAAAAAAAGCTAGAAAAAAAAGCTGTTAGTGTTTTAGGAGCGTTTAGGAGCATTTAACATTTTCTTTTCTGCTGGAAAAACACTCCAAAAAAAACTTTACAAAAACATATTTTTTTTCTGCTCCTAGAAGCTGAAGCTCAAAAAAATGCTACTAGCCTAGTGTGCATGGACACATGGGATAACACTATTTAGCTTCTAGTAGCAGGAAAAAAATGCTGATAACAGCTTCTAGGAGCTTAAAAGAATGCTAGTGTGCATGGAGCCTAAATGTATAAATTGTCTCATCAGCACTTTGTGTTTTTGTTTCTGTTGATAAAGTTTGATATTGATAAGGAGGCTGGAGAGCGGCAGATCTATCACCGTTACTGCATGGAGCGTGCATCCGTCCACTGTGCTCATGTCTTCAGCACAGTGTCACAGATCACCGGCATTGAGGCTGAACATATGCTGAAGAGAAAAACCGGTAAGATGATGGACAGTCAAAGGTCAGATCAGTCATCGGTGAATCACTTTTGGCTACTGTAAATGTAAATAAACTGCTATATTACTTCAAGTGTATATATTAGGTTGCCACACACCAGCTGAAAGGTGAAATCAGCCTTACAATGGGAGTGAACTTCACCAGTGGTGTAACGTGTAGTCCAAATATGCAGACAGGAGGTGGGACAGTCACACTGGTCTGCAGAACTGCTAATTCTAAAAGTGTTGTTATCTCCTGTGCAGTCATACATCACAGCAGATGTGGAGGGTCCTGAAAGAGTGTGATTTATCAGTTGACAGGAAAAAACCCAGTATATGTGTATATAGAAATGTTATATATTTCCATTACAGCCGTAGCCACTCCTCCACCACTGCATAGCTGAGCAGATCTAAACCAGGTAAAAATGCAAAGGAAGAATGCAATGGAAGTATTCCTTGTACCCAGCACAGGAGAAAATCCCTAGCCATAAACACATAGTATGTGAGGTTGTCAGGCCCTAGACTGCACAGTAGCTGCTCCATAGCTACAAGGAAGGAAATACAAGAATTCATTGGCCCATGAAGTGATTTCAGTATTTCTTTGTTTGCAAAAAATATCCAGCTTTCAATATGTTCCGTGCCGTATTCACCCATAAATAATGAAAAATGTGATGACAACCAACCACAAATAATAGCGCAACCCTACACCTACAATTAAATAAATAAATATGTGAATATTCATATATAAATTAATAAATAAATAGATAAATATATCCACCACCACATATGTGCACATTAATAAATATCAAAAATCAATAAGTGCATTCAAAAAAAGTCCATGAATAATCCTTTCATAAATGAAATAATGGGATTATGAGATCCTCCTTCACCAACGTGACATCCAGTGCTCAAAACACCCCACCAAAATGCACACTCACCATGTGCTGGTGATAAACCAGCATATCGTTATATATCCAGCAATCCACCACAATGCTCCGGTTATTAGGTAATCCTCTCATATCCAATTAGCACGTGTGAATAGAAAACATACTCGCCATTGTGCAATATCATCCAGCTAGTTTATTGGTAAACAAAACCCCCCTTAAAACTGCACTCACAATGAGTAAAAAACAAGCAAACATTGATTAGGAGCCACAGGCTCTGTCTCCGGCGTCTCACCTGCCCACCCTCAACCAAGATGGCGATGGTACAACCAGGTGGTCCGGACACATGGGATAGCGTGCGTACGTGATGACGTCACCGATAGCCACACTCTAACGCGTTTCGTCAGATGACTTCTTCTCAGAAATGCTGTGTTCATATATAGTGCTGTGTTCATATATAGTGCTGTGTTCATATATAGTTATGTGTACATACATAGTGCCATGTTCATACATAGTGTTGTGTTCATACATAGTGCCCTGTTCATATATAGTGCCCTGTTCATACACAGTGCTGCATTCATACATAGTGCCATGTTCATACATAGTGTTGTGTTCATACATAGTGCCGTGTTCATACATAGTGTTGTGTTCATACATAGTGCCATGTTCATATGTAGTGTTGTGTTCATACATAGTGCCCTGTTCATATATAGTGCCCTGTTCATACACAGTGCTGCATTCATACATAGTGCCATGTTCATACATAGTGTTGTGTTCATACATAGTGCCGTGTTCATACATAGTGTTGTGTTCATACATAGTGCCGTGTTCATACATAGTGTGTTCATATGTAGTGTTTGTGTTCATACATAGTGCCCTGTTCATATATAGTGCCCTGTTCATACACAGTGCTGCATTCATACATAGTGCCATGTTCATACATAGTGTTGTGTTCATACATAGTGCCGTGTTCATACATAGTGTTGTGTTCATACATAGTGCCATGTTCATACATAGTGTTGTGTTCATACATAGTGCCATGTTCATACATAGTGTTGTGTTCATACATAGTGCCGTGTTCATACATAGTGTTGTGTTCATACATAGTGCCATGTTCATACATAGTGTTGTGTTCATACATAGTACCATATTCATACATAGTGTTGTGTTCATACATAGTACCATGTTCATAAATTGGAGGTTATTTCCAAAAAACTGGAGAGTTCAAAATCTGGTGAAACTCTGCACAGAAACCAATCAGCTTCCAGATTTTATTGCCAAAGCTTAATTGAACAAGTAGAAGTTAAAAGCTGATTGGCTGCCATGAACAGCTGCACCAGATTCGGAGTGCTCCAGTTTTCGTAAATCTCCCTCATAGTACCACATTCATACGTAGTGCTGTGTTGATACATAGTGCCAAGTTGATATAATTTCATATTTCCTCTTACAGATGTCGTTATTCCCAATGGATTAAACATAAAGAAGTTCTCTTCGATGCATGAATTCCAGAACCTGCACGCCATGTACAAGTTTCGGATCCAGGAATTCATCCGCGGCCACTTCTATGGGTATTTATTACAAGGTTGATGCATCACTACACCCAAGCAAGCAGCTCGAATCTCCTGCTGCAGCCATTATATGGGCTCCTCATTGTCACTGCTGCATCTTTCAGTTCTCTGCACTGTACAGAATGCAGCATGACAAGTGAGACTTCATCATCTGACTGCCGATAGGGCAGAGCTGTGAATGCAGCAACTTCCTGATGTGCACATCTTCCTGTGGCCTTGGTTGTCATTTTACAGCAACAAGATGTAGAGATGTTGGTTCTGTGACTTTTGTTGTGAAACACTTTTAAATCTTTCTCACTTATTTATTTATTTAAGGTACTTATATAGCGCCCTTAATTTACGCAGCACTTTACATATATATTGCACATTCACATCAGTCCCTAACCCTCAAGGGGCGTACAATCTAAGGTCCCTAACTCACATTCATACATACACATACTAGGACCAATTTAGACAGGAGCCAATTAACCTACCAGCATGTGTTTGGAGTGTTGGTACCTGGAGGAAACCCACACAGGCACAGGGAGAACATGCAAACTCCAGGCAGGAGGTGCTGTGGCTAGGATTCGAACCAACAACCCGAGTACTGCCAGGCAAAAGTACTAACCATTTAACTACTGTGCTGCATTACTCTAAGGGCTCGATCACACTTGACTTTATTTCTAACTCTTGCCAAATGCCCCTATAGCGTTTGACAGGCGTTTGGGAAGCATTTTTAATGCTCCCCATATGCCCTATGCGCAGTTTTGAGGCGGTTGATAGGCGTTTACCAAGCGTTAAAACCGCACCACAAATGCCTATAATGAAGTTAAATGGTATGAACGCTCCGCAAACGTCTCGCAAATGCCTGCCAGGCGTTTGAGGAGCGGCACCATAGACTTGAATGGGAGGCTTCAACTCTTCCTGACTCGACGAGAGGCGCAAGTTTTGCCACGACGCAACGCTAACGCTTCAGTGTGAACAGCACTGTGTGCTGCCATGTGCAGAATTTTCATAGGCGTTTGAGAAGCATTAAAAACATTTCCCAAATGCCTGTCTGATGCCTGCTGACAAAGCTAGTGTGAACTGAGCTTAAGATTTGTGATTTTATATCCTGAATAAATACAATATAAAATGTAATGTTGTGACTCTGCTGGACGTCTAATCATCCACAAACTATTTAGTAGCATTTTACTTCAGTAAAATAATCATTTGTAAGGTTAGTTTTGAACTTTCCTCCTGCTAGTTTGAGGTCATGTCCCCGTGATTAAAGGTAACTATAATGTCCCCCCTCCACCTTCTTTCCTCAAGACTGTAGTCATTTTGTTCCTTTCAACATTTTTGTTGCCTATATCTGGACTATTTCCAGGCTAAATCCTAACTAGTCTTCAAAAAAGTCCTGGTGGGAGGAATAGTGCCCCTCATTGGTACTGGTTGGAGGAATAGTGCCCCATCATTGGTACTGGTGGGAGGAATAGTGCCCCATCATTGGTACTGGTGGGAGGAATAGTGCCCCATCATTGGTACTGGTGGGAGGAATAGTGCCCCATCATTGGTACTGGTGGGATTGGGAATAGTGCCCCATCATTGGTACTGGTGGGAGGAATAGTGCCCCATCATTGGTACTGGTGGGAGTAAGAGTGCCCATCATTGGTACTGGTGGGAGGAATAGTGCCCCATCATTGGTACTGGTGGGAGGAATAGTGCCCCATCATTGGTACTGGTGGGAGGAATAGTGCCCCTCATCGGTACTGGTTTGGAGGAATAGTGGCCCATCATTGGTACTGGTGGGAGGAATAGTGCCCCATCATTGGTACTGGTGGGAGGAATGGTGCCCCATCATTGGTACTGGTGGGAGGAATAGTGCCCCATCATTGGTACTGGTGGGAGGAATAGTGCCCCATCATTGGTACTGGTGGGAGGAAGAGTGCCCATCATTGGTACTGGTGGGAGGAATAGTGCTCCATTGTTGGTATTGGTGGGAGGAAATAGTGTCCAATTGTTGGTATCATGGGAAGGAATAGTGCCCCATCATTGGTGTTAGTGGGAGAAATAATGCCCTGTCATGGTGTCAGTGGGAGAAATGAGTGTCCCATTGTTGGTGTCAGTGGAAGGAATAGTTTGCCATCATTGATGTCAGTGGGAGAAATAATGCCCAGTTGTTGGTGTCAGTGTGAGTAATAGTGCCCCATTGTTGGCATCAGTGAAAGGAATTATGCCACATTGTTGGTGTCCGTGGAAAGAATAGTGCCTTGCATCTGTTGAAGGAATAGTGCCCTAAGGGCCTAATAAAGGCAAGGAAAGGGCCACATCTAGAGGCATCAAGACCTCCTTCCTCCTACTGGTGATCTTTTTAGAGGAATCAGGACCTTCTTCCACCTACTGGTGATCCCTCTAGTGATCACTAAGATCTTTTTAGAGGAATCAGGACCTTCTTCCACCTACTGGTGATCCCTCTAGTGATCACTAAAGATCTTTTTAGAGGAATCAAGACCTTCTTCCACCTACTGATGATCCCTCCAGTGATAACTAAAGATCTATATAGCGGCAATCTGACCTCCTTCCTCCTGCTGGGGATCATTCATTATAGTGATAACTGAACATCTTAATAGAGGAATCGGGACTTCCTTCCACCTGCTGGGGATCTTTCTAGTGACACACCCCGCAGTTTTTCTGGCTTTCCCCACTGCCTGGCCACAGTGTTTGCTCATTTTGCAATCATCTGAAATAAGCACTCCAAATTGTACCCCCAATATTTTACTGTCAGAGGATGTCAAATCATGTTTTATGTCACGAACACCGCCAAGAATGATCAACCTGGAAATGTTTCTAACATGAAATATGAACACTACATCATAGTGGTTTGATACACAGAGATTCAGTTGTTATAAATTTCAGGTATTGTGAAGATTAATGTACAAAGTGTTGTAGTTTGTATCCGTTTGATTAATCTAATGATGATACAGTTGTATCTCTTATTACCTTTAGGATGAATCTAATAAAGATACGGTTACACTTGTTGTTCATAGGATGAATTTCTTTTTACTTCCTCTGTTCAGACATCTGGACTTCAATCTGGAGAAGACTCTCTTCTTTTTCATTGCTGGCCGATATGAATACTCCAACAAAGGGGCAGACATATTCCTGGAGGCTCTGTCCAGGCTCAACTTCCTTCCTACTGCGGGTAAGTGCGATCCTCTGTCATGGCTCCACCTGGCATGTTCCCAGCAGTGAACACTTGCAGCGCAGAGGAGGTGATGGTAGTTAAAGGCAGAACTCCAACTTAGTCCCCGAACACACTGGGTGTGACTTGGCATGCAATTTGCACGCCATGCAACTTGCAAATCACATGGCAAGTCACACCCTATTGTCCGCAGTTACAGCGGTCATATCGGTGCGGTTCCGACTTGGTCGGAGCCACATCAATTTCTAAAGTAGTACATGTACTACTTTTGGTGCAATTTGCATAGACATCTGTGTCAGATGTCTTGCAAATCACACCACAAATCAGCATATCATCCGACTTTGAAATCGTCACTGTAAGTTGCACGATTTTAAAGTCGGGATCGGTGTGACCGGGGTGTTATAGAAGGTTATGTACAGAGAGTACAGCACTGCCACGAATAACACTTTGTGATTATGGATGAGCAGGGTGAGTTTTGTAAACCACTTGATCTTGTAACATACCTAGGGGTTTTGGCCTTGTTGTTGAACTTGATGTTGTAACCCTATGATGAACAAGTATGTGAGCACCATGAGGGGGGGGGTCTGATAAGTTACTTTGTGATCGCCATGAGAGGGGGGAGGTCTGATAAATTACTTTTTGATCGCCATGAGAGGGGGGAGATCTGATAAGTTACTTTGTGAGCGCCATGAGAGGGGGGAGGTCTGATAAGTTACTTTGTGAGCGCCATGAGAGGGGGGAGGTCTGATAAGTTACTTTGTGATCGCCATGAGAGGGGGGGGTCTGATAAGTTACTTTGTGATCGCCATGAGAGGGGGGGGGGGGGTCTGATAAGTTACTTTGTGATTGCCATGAGAGGGGGGGGTCTGATAAGTTACTTTGTGATCGCCATGAGAGGGGGGGTCTGATAAGTTACTTTGTGATCGCCATGAGGGGGGGGGTCTGATAAGTTACTTTGTGATCTCCATGAGAGGGGGAGGTCTAATAAGTTACTTTGTGATCGCCATGAGAGGGGGAGGTCTGATAAGTTACTTTGGGATCGCCATGAGAGTGGGGATGTCTGATAAGTTACTTTGTGATCGCCAAGAGAGGGGGGGGGGTCTGATAAGTTACTTTGTGATCGCCATGAGAGGGGGGAGGTCTGATAAGTTACTTTGTGAGCGCCATGGGGGGGGGGGGTCTGATAAGTTACTTTGTGATCGCCATGAGAGGGGGGAGATCTGATAAGTTACTTTGTGATCGCCATGAGAGGGGGGAGGTCTGATAAGTTACTTTGTGATCGCCATGAGGGGGGGGGGGTCTGATAAGTTACTTTGTGATCGCCATGAGAGTGGGGAGGTCTGATAAGTTACTTTGTGATCGCCTCGAGAGAGGGGGGGGGTCTGATAAGTTACTTTGTGATCGCCATGGGAGGGGGGGTCTGATAAAATTAGGTTTGGGATCGCCTCGAGAGGGGGGGGTCTGATAAGTTACTTTGTGAGCGCCATGAGAGTGGGGATGTCTGATAAGTTACTTTGTGATCGCCAAGAGAGGGGGGGGGTCTGATAAGTTACTTTGTGATCGCCATGAGAGGGGGGAGGTCTGATAAGTTACTTTGTGATCGCCATGAGAGGGGGGAGGTCTGATAAGTTACTTTGTGAGCGCCATGAGAGTGGGGATGTCTGATAAGTTACTTTGTGATTCGCCATGAGGGGGGGGGGGGGTCTGATAAGTTACTTTGTGATCGCCATGAGAGTGGGGAGGTCTGATAAGTTACTTTGTGATCGCCATGAGAGGGGGGGTCTGATAAGTTACTTTGTGATCGCCATGAGAGAGGGGGAGGTCTGATAAGTTACTTTGTGATCGCCATGAGAGGGGGGGTCTGATAAGTTACTTTTTGATCGCCATGAGAGAGGGGGGGTCTGATAAGTTACTTGTGATCGCCATGAGAGCAGGGGGGTCTGATAAGTTACTTTGTTATCGCCTCGAGAGGGGGGGGTCTGATAAGTTACTTTGTGATCGCCATGAGAGGGGGAGGTCTGATAAGTTACTTTTGTGATCACCATGAGAGGGGGGAGGTCTGATAAGTTACTTTGTGATTGCCATGAGGGGGGGGTCTGATGAATTACTTTGTGATCGCCATGAGAGGGGGGGGGGGGGGTCTGATAAGTTACTTTGTGATTGCCATGAGAGGGGGGAGTCTGATAAGTTACTTTGTGATCACCATGAGAGGGGGGGGGGGGTCTGATACGTTACTTTGTTAACAAAGGGTTAGGGTTCTCATTATGGAAAGACTACCTTTAGTGTTTAACTGACCATATTTGTCACTATCTGGTTATACAATCTTCTTCCACCAATAATTCTGTAGTACAAAGGTCTACCTGATTGGATACAATTTGAATGTTTAGCTTCACTTTGGTAAATCTAAAGGTGATTGTGCAATCAGATTGTTACATTTGTGGGCAGCTTTAGGGATACCATTAACAATAGGGTTAGGAAAAAAAGGTCCAGGATATGTGAAAGGGGCTTCTGTAACCCTCAGGAGATATTTAAAGCCCATTGCCAGTCTTTTTTGGAGAAGTTTGTTTCGCTCACCCCTAATTGTGATGTGTGTGGTGTAGCAGATGAAGCTATAGGTAGATACAGTATAATCTAGAGAATACACAAGGTTCTCATCTATCATTGTCATTCTATCAGTCAAACACTGACCCAAAAGAATTGGACTGCTTTCTGCTGCTGGTTGAGATACCACAATGGTAAGTTTTGCAAGGCTTGCAGATTTCTCTCCTTATTGGTTTGGCTTCTATAAAGTCTTCATTGTTACTGCATTTCTAGGGTCATATGGAGTCAACTAGCCTGTGTCCTTCAATGCAAAAGAAATACAGTGCAGATTTCACAATCAATATCATCGTGGTGTGAATAAAACCCAGCACAGGATGCTTAAGGATCCTGCGTTCCGACACCAGCTTTCTGATATAAAAAGAGACCTCGGTGATAATACTGAGCCAGGGGGAAAATCATAAATATAATCAGTACGCAGGACAGAGAGATCCCTCAATGAAGACACGCAGTGCCCCCGGTTGTGTGACGCAGACTGCGTTGTGTTCAGAGACAGATTACCACTATGTTTTCTGAATCTCCAGGATGTGGGCAGAAAATAACAATGTAACAATATAAGCAAAATGAGTCGAGGAACCAGGCTCTTCTTCAAATATTTAATGGTTAAAAATAAAACAAAGAATAAAATCAAAGGTTGAAAAGAGATGGGCATTTAAGGCACCCTAGATCTGTTGTGTGTGGCCGCCAATCTATTCACATTGTGGGAAGGTTAGATACCAGAGAATGCAAATGAGGAATTTGAGGCTGAAACCTTTTTATTCGGTGTACTGAATGTGTGAAGCAGTGAGCATGTGTGAGTGAGCATGTCCTCCATGGAAATCAGAGGATGAATTAAATGAATCATCTTCTCCAAATGATGAATGTTAAATTCAGACTTAGCCAAACAATTGTTCACTGTACTTATCTCTTACCCTCAGTTCACATCTGTGTGGGTGGTGCTGCTGTGGGACCCGCACAAATGCCTGCAGCCGCACCACCCTCACAGAAGAATGCGAGACCCTTGGGCGGGTGCCATTAATTCTAATGGCACGCCGCCCGCATTACAAATCACAACCGTACTGGGAACCTTGATTCCCGTGTGGACTGCGGTTTCCAAAGTAGTGCAGGGACTTCTTCCCTGTGTGTCCCAGGGCACGGGAGTCTACTCAAATGAATGGACTCTCGTGTCTGTGCAAATTGCAGCCCGCATGACTGCACAGATATGAACCATGGCTTAGATAGGTTAGTTATGTGCAAATCTTTTCCTGTAAAAACTGAGCTTTGCCCCACTTTCTCCTGAACTTCCCAATTCGGTCCCTGAGGATGTCCTATCACATTAAAGACAAAAAGAGATGCTTTGGAAGTACTGTAAAAGATGGGGCCATGCTTAACCTCAGCTGCTTACTTATCAGTTTTACATGTAGCTCTCAGTGAAGGTCAGATCTGCTTAGAAAATTGTTATTGCATGCCTCAAGTGTTACTAAACCCACAACAGTTAAGTCAGTCTGTGTATGCAGTAAAGCATGCTTGTTATACTCACTGGGGAACCTAAGGGATTAATCCTCCACATTGTGTAAAAAGGCTGTTTGATCCTGTCTTCTCTGATCACCCCCTTCTACTGTCCCCAGTCCAGCTGCTGATAGTACAGATCTCTAGGAGTCACTCTGCACATACTCACTTTGGTGTGTATTGCTAGAGAGTTGGTTTTTTTTCTTTGGGAGGGTTCATGTGATCAGCACAGGGCCCATCAGCACTGTCCAGACAGAGGGTCAGGTGTTATGCAGCCTCACAGGACAGTCAGAGAATGAAAACTCCTCCTACAAGCTTTAACCAGTGCTCAGCTGGACACTGATCGAAGTCACAAGACTGCTACATACTGCTGATGGGAAAAGGTATTTAGCAGTTTATATTTACTAACATAATTGCATTTCCATGTTCTGTGCACTAGGGGAGACCAGATATAGTGGGTATAGTAACACTTTAAGTTGCATTGCCTAAGTGAGTTTACTTTGAATGTGCCTAACTAATACTAGATATACCATGACCTGGATAAATGAGACCCTCACAGACATATGCTTTCTGTGCCTCTAAGAGACTCCAATACCCAGCTCTTTCACACCTGGTTTATTTTTTTATTCAAAACATAAATTCAAAATCTAACAATGAAAAATAGCTCCTCTTATAGAGGCCAGTGTTGGTGGGAGGAGCTGGGAACACAGTGGAAGAGCAATCCAGGACCCATGAGTGGTCAATGAATTATTCAGTCTGTGTCCTTCTATGTCAGGACTTAGGCTGGGTACACACGGACCGAATATCGGCCAGTATCTGCTGGTTCAACAGGAACCAGCCAACATTTGTTCAGTGTGTACATCTGTCTTTACTATAGAAGTGGGTCTAACAACCGGCTTTTGTCAGAAGGACATGCTGGAAAACCAGCATCCAATCAGCAATCGGTGTGTTCTGGCGGGGGGTGGTTGGTTGGTCCCCCATGTCAGAACACAATTGCACTGTGGGGGAGACTACTGCACTAACATCGCTTGTGTAAGTACGGTGATCTGTAGGTTTTTTTTTTTTGTTTCCGCCCTCTGGGTTGAATGAAAACAAAAATGTATGTATGTATCAGGCTTAAACACAAGGCCATTCTTGTCATTTATGTGCCATTGATAGCCCCTGCATGGGCGCACCTTTTTCTCTGTTGGCGTTAGAGCACTGTTTTTTTCTATTTTTATTTTTTATATGTGCAATTGATAGCCCCTGCGTGGGCGTGTTTTGTTGCCTCTGTTTTATAGGGTTTAAAAATTAATAAAAACATTGAAATATAAACACAAGGCCATCAGATTTTGGAGTGTGGCAGTTGGACCTCTTCCTGCACAACTAACCTTCCAATTGTTGTTTTTCAGGTCCATCGGAGTGATGTGACTGTTGTGGTATTTTTTATAATGCCGACAAAGACAAATAATTTCAATGTGGAGACCCTGAAAGGTCAGGCAGTGAGGAAACAGCTCTGGTGAGGACTATTCCACTTATTCTGTGTTGTGGTGTCTGAACACTGAGCCAGTCACATCAGTCTCCGCACCAGAGGAGCTTACACTCTAATGTCCCACCACAGTCACACACTATTACTACTATACATTTATATAGCTCTGACATATTCCATAGTGCTGTTTAGAGAACACTGAGCCAGTCACATCAGTCTCCGCACCAGAGGAGCTTACACTCTAATGTCCCACCACAGTCACACACTGTTATTATTATACATTTATATAGCTCTGACCAGGGGCAGACTGACAACTCTTGGGGCCCCTGGGCAATAGGGATCATGGGGCCCCTGTGTCCTTGCCCAAACTCAAAAAAGCCTATGAAAAAGGTACCAGGGGCATCTCATGGGGCCCCCTACTGACCCCGGGCCCTCGGGCAGTGCCCGAGTTTCCAAATGGTCAGTCCGCCCCAGGCTCTGACATATTCCACAGTTCTGTACAGAGAACACTGAGCCATTCACATCAGTCTCTGCACCAGAGGAGCTTACACTCTAATGTCCCAACACAGTCACACACTATTATTATTATTATACATTTATGTAGCTCTGACATATTCCATAGTGCTGTACAGAGAACACTGAGCCAGTCACATCAGTCTTTGCACTGGAGGAGCTTACACTCTAATGTCCCACCACAGTCACACACTATTATTATACATTTATGTAGCTCTGACATATTCCATAGTGCTGTACAGAGAACACTGAGACATTCACATCAATGTTTGTACCAGAGGAGCTTACATTTTAATGCAGCACTCAGGGGCGGACTGACAATTCATGGGGCCCCTGGGCAATAGGGGATCATGGGGCCCCTGTGTCCTTGCCCAAACTCAAAAAAGCCTATGAAAAAGGTACCAGGGGCATCTCATGGGGCCCCCTACTGACCCCGGGCCCGAGTTTCCAAATGGTCAGTCCGCCCCTGGCAGCACTACATTCACACACTATAATTACCACCTATTTACAGTATATAACTGACATATTCTGCAGTGCTGTAGAGAGAACATTGAGCTAGTCTCATGAGTTTCTGCACCAGAAGAGCTTACACTCTAATATCCAACCATAGTCACACATCATTGTTATTACACATTTGTATAGCTCTGATATATTCCACGTTTCTGTACAGAGAACACTGAGACAGTCACATTGGTCTCTGCTCTGGAAGAGCTTACACTCTAATGTCTCACCACAGTCACACTGTTATCATTATTATTATTATTGTTGTTGTGTTTCTCCAGGGACACAGCTCAGGCAGTGAAGGAGAAGTTCGGGAAGAAACTGTATGCAGCGTTGCTGAAGTATGTATAACAGGGAGTAAATTCAGTCGTGTTCCTCATTCTCTATCTCTAAAAAGTAGATGTAAACCCTAGTTAAGTTTCCTCTGTGCACTATGTATCATAAACATTTGCCAGGTTTTCTATAAATTCCTGTTTTCCATAAATTCCTTTTAGTCGTTCTTTGTTAAATACCAGCACTGCTGATCTTCTGCAACCTCTTAGCAGTCACTTCCTGTCTACATGCTGTACAGCGGTGGCTACATGGCATTTCTCAGAGTGGGCTACCTGATTGTGACAACAGTGGACCATGCCTGTGTAATGTTTGTTGAAACTGCCACTTGTAGATTCCTTCCTGGTGGTGACAATGCAGGAGAACAATTGAGATACAAAGCATTGTAATCCTATAACAGGAAGTGCCTGAACGAGCAGCTTCAAGGCAGGATCACCTGGCATGATTGTAAGGAAAATTGCAAATATAAAAAGGTTTAAATGACTTTTTAATTGACAGCATTATGTGAACGCTTTTAGAGCCTCAAAAAATCCCAGTTACAAAATGCCAGACAACACCTTGACACACCTTACTGGGCTTTTTGTGACATTGGCGCAGTAAATGCTTCTTTCTGGCAACTCAACCATGCAGCTCATTTTTGTTAAAAAGTAGATGTAAACCCTAGTTTAATTTCCTTTGTGCACTATGTATCATAAACATTTGCCAGGTTTTCTGTAAATTCCTGTTTTCCATAAATTCCTTTTAGTCATTCTTTGTTACATACCAGCATTGTATTGTGCTCTTTAACCACTAGATGCAGAGTGCACGCAAATATGCGGCCTCTTGGCATCTGGGCATTGACGCCGAGTGGCCGCATATTTGCATGCCATTAGAAAAAACATATGTGCTGAGATCGCGCGCCCTGCGCGCTCCCAGCACGTTTGTCTGTCACTCACGGAAAGGTCCCGATCTCTCCTTGCGATTGGGACCTTTTCCAATCACGTGACCGCCGTGACAGTGAATCACGGCGGACACATGACCCTAAAACCCCGCCCGCCTCCTGGCTTCTGAAACTCTTAAAGGGTCGGGAGGCGCCGGCGCAAAGGGGTTAAAAACAACCACACCGTTTTTTTCCAGAGCAGTCTGTATTTCTCCTGAGGTTACCAAGGAGAAAATAGGTTTTTCTTTGTATCCTGTATATACAGTCTATGTGTGTCCATGTACACATAGACTGTAATCAACATTTTTTGTCTGTAAAAAAAACCCAGGACTAGTGGGTTTCTAGAGGAGTTTTTTAGCTGTAAAAACGCACTAATGATGAAAAACGCTGTAAAATGTGGTAAATTGCAGCAAACCAGCATTTTTGGACTTTTTTTTACTTAAAAAAAAATTTTGTTTTGGTAAAATAAATTCTAACAAATGCGTTAAAAAGGCAAACGTGGAAAAACCGCAAAAGACCGCTAAACGCTAATACAAAAATGCTAAAAAAACGCTGAAAAACTCACATTTTTAACATGACTTTACACAGCTAACGTTACCAGCGTTATCAAAACACCCCATGTGCCTGGAGCCTCAAAGTGATACTAGTAACACAAATATTGTATATGCTGGAAATATGAAATAAAAGATTTACAATGCAGCAAGTTATCAAAAAACTTGCACCAAAATCTGTTCTCCAGAATGAAATATTTGGTCACCTTCTTCCCTAATGCAGCTATAGCAGAGTGCAGGATGCTGTTTAACCTGAGGGACATGACACCCCTGGCAGCCCTGTACTCATATCCTGATGGGGGTCTAACCTTTCTGTATAGTTTATGGAGGAATCTGTGATACAGAAGGGGGTCTGGTCAGGTGTAGTTGGGGTGTCATCTGATTGAAGTTTATTTTTTTTCTTTGTAACATAATAAAATCTTCTCTTCAGAGGGGAAATTCCTGATCTGAGCAAGATTCTGGACAGGGATGACCTAACCATCATGAAGCGGGCAATATACTCCACACAGGTGTGATCCTCTATATTTCTTTTTGTTTTTTTTTTCTTTTTTTTTCGGTGTTTTGTTGTTACTTGATGGGGTTTTTCACATTAAAAAAACTAAATTTGTGGCTCTGGGATACATTTCTACACTACTTAAGATTTAGGGAACTAATGTTTGCCATAATTGATGGTATTTACTTAGGTCCTTGGTTCTGCAATGGGGATTGCATGCTACCTCTTCCTATTCCTTCTCTCTTCTTTTCTCCCTTTCCATTCTTTTTGTCTAGGGACTTGTCTTCCTGTCTCAGTATTCCTATTTCATGATTGGCATAACACTGTAGTGTGTGATGTTGCAACACACTTTATCACTATCATTATAATGTGTGTAGTGCTTCTGAATAAACTATTCCTTTGTTATTCCTACTGGAATGCTGGAATTTTGCATTTCTGGTATTGGGCGATCCATTGTTGCAGAACAAACGTGCACTCTGAATGGACAAACATGCAAAGACTCAACAACTTGCCAGAACTACGATTGTGTACGCTGCTGGCATGGCTAGACGGGGCATGCGTACATCACATCACTTCCTATTTCACGCTATAACGTAGATATGCAGGTTGGGAAATTTTCATAACGTTAGTAACCTATCCTGGTTCGAAATGCGACTAGCAAGTATAAAGAGTCAGATGATCTTTCATCCGTTTTTCACATCGTGTGTACTAGGCATTAGAGTACCTGTGCTACAATTTCAGATGTACAGTATGTCATTGTTTACTTCCCCTACCCATGTACTCTATTTTATCTCACTTTTTTTTATACCACAAAGTATAACTCGTCTGTTATACAGTATGTTCTGCCAACGGGATGGATTTTATGTATCGAAAATCCATAATAAAAATATCATCTTTAAAAAAAAAAAAAATGTGAAAGTAATTTAAAAATATAGAGGTATGTTTTTGGGTTTTTTTTTTCAGGGGGGGGGGGGATATTTTAGGGTTGCTTGATGTTTTTTTTTAAATAAAGCCACAAACTACTCACAAAAACAGGCAAAAAAAACTGTGCTGTCTCTGTGACCTTTTTCATTTTAATTTGCTATTCCCATTTCTTTCTTTTCCAATTGTGTAAAATGGTTAATAAAACATTAACACATCAAAACATAAAAAACCCTCATTGACCTTCCGTTTGCTCCCCACCTCAATCCCCTTTTTATCGCTTTCCTTCCTAACCCTACATTCTTACACTCCTTCATATACTCTGTTCTGTTCCCTGCTATTTTTGTGCTACCCTCTGTCCCTGAATTTTGTCCCTTTTATAAAGACTTTATCTTGTGGGATCCCTCTTAGTTAATATCCTTATATCCCAATTCAACCGCCTTGTCTGTCCTTTATGTACAGTACTTGTTCTATTTTAAAGTTATTGAAAAAAAAGAAGACCCAACAGGAGTGTAGTAACAAATTACCAATTCTATCTCTGTTCTATGATGATCCAGCAGTGTTGGATTTATTTGGATTGTATGATTGCCATTTCCTGTAATGATAAAGTTGACTTTCATACAGTCCTAAAGAGGCTGGATATGATAAAGGTTGGACTGAACACCATTGTAGCGAACTTGATGTAACATTTACTTAGCAAATCCCTCCTGCTGTGTTTTTCCTTATACTATTATTATTATACAGGATTTGTATAAAAATACTAAAGAATTTGAAAAAAAAATCATGAAAAAGCACAAGGGAAAGGACATAGAATGCTAAAAAGGTTTAATTTTTAATTATATACTTTTATGTTGTGTATTTTTTACACGCTGTGAATGATACTTGCTTTATAAAGTGTTTTTGTTAATGAATTTGGCCTTGAAAGTAAAATTAGAGGCCAGTTTTGTAATGTTTCCTGCTGTCTGTTTTTTCTTTCTCTGAAAATAGTAAAATAACGAGGCTAAAAAGGGACACATAACAGGTAAAAGGCCCTATTTATTGGAACATACCAGGTCCAAGAATAGGTGAAAGGAGCTTCTCAGGAAACATTTTAAAGCTCACTGCAATGTTAAAAAACCATCTTAATTTTACCTTCTTTATTTGACTCCAATACCCTACAAAAATAGAGACATTTTGAAGAAATCTTCAGATTTTTGTTAAAATTTCAGGGAAACGAAAACCCTTAATTTCCCTCATCCTTGGTAATATTTTGTATTGGAACTCCTGGCCATCTGAATTAATGTCCCATATTACTCCTTCGTTTATTTATATAGTATACTGTGTATGACTGTGTTGAACATTTCCTGCAGTGCTATTAAAGTTTCTCTCTGTATTTTCCATCACAGCGCCAGTCACTGCCCCCTATCACGACACACAATATGGTGGATGACTCAACGGACCCGATCCTAAGCACTATCAGACGAATTGGTTTGTTTAACAGTCGGGCGGACAGAGTGAAGGTCGGTGTGATAAGTATGTGTAATGATGTGATCAATGATCCAGGAAATGCCATTTAATTCTCGTTCAGAATATTATTAACATTCATTTCCTAAAAGATCCAGAGACATCTGCCTGTATACATAGACAGCAATATATATCAATATAAATCCCAATTCATATAGTGAATATTGGATTGCTGAAGCATGTGACAGAGGCTGAATAATGTGGATTCTGGGCCGATATTTAGTAATGAAAGATGCACAGAAGTGATTCTCATGTTTGTCAGAAAAGATAAAACATTCCGAGCTCATTCACTTTTTTCCTCCATGGTATATATTAATATCTAACCTGTCCCTTTATTTCTGCCATCCCCTCACTGGCTACAGAATATGGGGCGGTGAATAGAACTAATTTTCCAGCAATCACTGACTGCAAACTATGCAAATGAATTATCCTCCAGTCACCATGTTATGCAGGGTGAGCACAAAAACAGTCCTTGATTTCAAACAGATATAGAATGTGTAACTTTATGGGAATATTCTTACACATTGGTGGCTACAGTCGCATCAGCTCATAAAGTTTCATGTAGTATCGTTTGGTAACTTTTGTTTGTCCTTCAAAGATAAATGGGCTGTGCACAGTCCGCTCTGAAACCGCACAAAATGCATACAGTTTTGCAAAATAATAGCAGTCAGACATCACTAACCTGATCAATCACTGTTTTTGGTAGAAATGATATTTCTACATGGCAAATAATTTACTAGCAGATGTAGTAGAGTAATAGAAATCCAACAGACCCAACAGTCATGACATGCATGCTGCTGATTCTGTGTAATTGAATCACTAATTGAAAGGGGCATGTTCAAAATAATAGCAGTGTGGAGTTCTATTAGTGAGGTCATTCATTCTTTGAAAAACAGGTGGCAATTACTGCCCTTATTTAAGGAAGGAAGGCAGCTAATGTTGTACATGCTGGTTACAGTGCATTTCTCTCTGAAGTTATGAGGAAAATGGGTCGTTCCAGACATTGTTCAGAAGAACAGCGTACCTTGATTAAAAAGTTGATTGGAGGGGGTAAAACATATAAAGAAGTGCAGAAAATGATAGGCTGCTCAGCTAAAATAATCGCAAATGCTTTAAAATGGCAACCAAAACCTGAAAGACGTGGAAGAAAGCGAAAAACTACCATTCGAATGGATAGAAGAATAGCCAAAATGGCAAGGACTCAGCCAACAATCAGCTCCAGGAAGATCAAAGAAGGTCTAAAGTTACCTGTGAGTACTGTTAAATTAGAAGACGCCTATGTGAAGCCAAGCTATCTGCAAGAAGCCCCCGCAAAGTCCCACTGTTGAAAAAAAGACATGTGCTGAAGAGGTTACAATTTGCCAAAGAACACATTGACTGGTCTAAAGAGAAATGGTGCAACATTTTGTGGACTGATGACAGTAAGATTGTTCTTTTTTGAGTCTAGTGGCCAGAGACAGTTTGTCAGACGACCCCCAAACACTGAATTCAAGCCACAGTACACTGTGAATACAGTGAAGCATGGTGGTGCAAGCATCATGATATGGGGATGTTTCTCATACTACGGTGTTGGGCCTATTTATCGCATACCAGGGATCATGGATCAGTTTGAATACATCAGAATACTTGAAGACGTCATGCTGCCTTATGTTGAAGAGGAAATGCCCTTGAAATGGGTGTTCCAACAAGACAACGACGACAAACACACCAGTGAACATGCAACATCTTGGTTCCAGACCAACAAGATTGACGTTATGGAGTGGCCAGCCCAATCCCTGGATCTTAATCCAATAGAAAACTTGTGGGGTGACATCAAAAATGCAGTTTCCGAGGCAAAACCAAGAAATAGAGAAGAACTGTGGAATGTAGTCCAATCATCCTGGGCTGGAATACCTGTTCACAGGTGCCAGAAGTTGGTTAACTCCATGCAACACAGATGTACAGCAGTTCTCAGAAACAGTGCTTATACAACTAAATATTAATTAAGTGATTCAAAGGAAAGCAAAATCTTCAAACATGTTTCAGTTTATATAGTGAATGTTTGAGTTTGTAAAGAAGAATACAAACACTGCTATTTTTTTGAACAGTCTAATATTCACTTTTCTTCAATTTTTTTAGAGGAACAACACAAATTTGATATAATTTCATTCATGTTTTGATTTGGAATAGAATGTGTAGTGTTCCCAATGCATTTGTGTGTATGGAAATAAAAGCTATTAGAAGGATTTTGAGCTTTATTCACTTCTTTTCAACACACTGCTATTATTTTGAACACAACTGTACATTTTTGGAGAGTCACATTCAACCTCCAGGGTGGCATGCGGATTCTCACTCTCCCATATCCTCACATTGTGCCTGTTGCCCTTTCCGCTTAAATGGAAGGTCGCCTCATCACTGAAATGATCTTTAACAGCAGGTTATCATCATTTTCCATTAACGCCTGTAGATTCTGTCAAAATTCAAACCACGTTTTGTCTTGCAGGTGTAACTTATGGACCAATTGCAGCTTGTAAGGGTGAAACCACACGCGTTTGCTTACTGTGCTCTGCAGGACGTGCAACTCTTGGCTAGCTCAGCATGTTCACTTCTTGGGGCTGCGCAAAAAGGCTTCTCTAAATGTGATCAACATCTTACTCGGAGACAGATGGTCGGCCTGACTGTCCTTTTTTTCTGATCACAAATGCATGCTTTCTCAGTATAATGGCTGTACCACTTGGATTTGCTAGTAGGTGGATCCACATTAAATTTGTGTTTGAGAGCACGCTGCACAGTCACAACACTGTTTAACAAATTCCACGAGGCACAAGCTGCATTGCTGTGGGGTGAGCAACATGTTGGATTTCATTGCCCTCTGGCGGTGGGAGGCGTGCACGGAGATTATGTGGGAGAAGAAAAAAAAAAAGGTTTTGAGTTAATGTATCTGTAGTCATCATATTTGTAAACATACTCCAATAACGTTTGATTTTATAACTACTTGAAATCAAGGAGTGTTTTTGTGCTCACCCTATATGGCCCCTTTCACACAAGCGAACCGATGGGGTCTGCCTGTCTGTTTTTCAGGTGGACGTGATAAGTCCATCCATAGACTTCAATAGTCCGCTGACACCCTCTGGCATCCGATCTGATCCTGTATGCTAAAAACAGATGGATGGGGATCCATTCCCCATCCTTCCAGTGGATCGGATGACAATCGGGTGGAAATGGACAGGAGGTCTGTTTCCATCTGACTGTCCCATTGAAATCAGTGAGCAGTGTCTGTGTCTGCTGTGCAGCAGCAGAATGGACATAGGCCTGTCATCTGCCTGCTCAGTGGGGATCAGCGGAGAGATCCCCCACTGAGCATGTGGATCACGCTTACGGATCCGCCCAATCTGAAAAGGGCCTATAATGCATTGCAAGTTTACTGAAGTGTACAAGGAGGAGGAACTTTCATTGTGCCATGCTGTAACCCATGATAGACAATTACAATTTATGACAACAAAGTTATATGTGGCGCTTTCCATTTTGCAGGTGATTGTGCACCCAGAATTCCTTTCTTCCACCAGCCCGCTCCTACCAATGGACTATGAAGAGTTCGTCCGAGGGTGCCATCTGGGGGTCTTCCCATCCTATTATGAGCCCTGGGGATATACACCTGGTGGGTATCTGTGAACTGTGGGTGACTCAAAACCCCTGGTTAGGGAAACCCATTGAGTGATCCCTACCCTGATATCAAATCATAGATTGAATATAAGATGTCCATGTGTGCGCACCTTAGAGTAGAATAGGCATAAATATAATCCATATAACATACTGTGTAAACTTGAACTAAATCACTTTTCCTCTCTTTGTACAAATAAACAGTTATATACAGAATGTTATTTATTGGTATTGTGCTCACGTGCTGTATTTCACAGGGATGTTGGGACAACTCTGAACCAGTCTATGCAGTAGAGAAGGTTACAATTTAATGTCCAACCACAGTCCCACACTATTATTAATATACATTTATATATCTCTGACATATACCATATACCTGCTATACAGAGAACACCGAGCCAATCACATCAGCTCCAATATAATGCTTTGATTAGAACAATATGAAGAATAAAATAGCAATGATCCCATGTTCTATCCAAGTATCCAAGTCAATTGGATATGGTTCTTCAGAACTGCATTTCGACCAATCTGAAGATGTTGATGTGATACTGTACACGTTTTAATCAACTCTGGTTTTAAACAGGCCCTGAGTAACATGTCTGTATAGAGAACTGTAAGCCAGTCACATCAGTCTGTGCACTAGAGGGTCTTCTACTCTAATTTCCCTGCTACAGTCACACACTAATATTATGTATTTTTGCATATATAATATTATTATACATGTTTATAGCTTTGAATTTATATAGCTCTGACACATTTTACAGAGCTGTATAGGGAACACGGAACAATTCATCTCAATCTGCACCAGAGGAGCTTACACTCTAATGTTCTACCACAGTCATACACCACTAATATTATACATTTATGTATTTAGCTCTGATATATATCGCAGTGCTGTACAGAAAATATTGCGTTAGTTACATCAGTCTCTGCTCTAGTTACACACATTAGAACAAGGACTGGCTGTACAAAAGTGGAAAAATTTGCAGACATTGTAACTATTTGAATGGATTGTTTGCTAACTGGGATTCCCTTTCCCAACCTGCTTTGTTGTTATCTCTGAAGAAGGAATTCTAATGCCAGATCAGGGGATGGAGTTTCCGAAGCGCTGATAATAACTAATTCCTCACACTTCATTTCATTTAATGCATTATTGATTCACCAGCTCTGTTCAGTTCATTTGGTAGCTATAATTTACAGCAGGGAAATCCCCGCAACACAGAGAGCAATCAATTGGCAAATGGTGAAGATTATCACATTAATAAAACACCCATTTGAAATGTGCCTTCTGGAAACTCCAGAGTTCAAATTGTTCACTGTTTGACAGCTGGTCAGTGAATATGGCAGATCGTGACCTGGAAGGCCCCAATGTAACATAGTATATACTTATTAAATATGGATACATCTGTTAGTGTGGATGCTGATGGGTACTGGAATGTTGAACGATTTCCTGAATGGCATAAGCGTGACTACTGGACTAAGAAGGGGCATAGGTGAGGCTTCTGGGATAAGAAAGAATACAGAAGGAGCCACTAGGACAAGTGGAGCTTCTGGGAAGGAAGGGGCACAGATAGGGCATCTGGAATAAGAAGGGGCACAGATGGGACTTTTGGAATAAGGGGCACAGGTGAGGCTCACAGGTTAAGAAGAGGCAGAGGAGGGATCCTGGGATAAGAAGGGGCACAGGTGGGACCTCTGGGATAAAAAGGGGCACAGGTGGGACTTCTGGGATAAGAAGGGGCACAGGTGAGGCTTCTGGAATAAGAGGGGGCATAGACTGGGCTCCTGGGGACTCCTAGGATAGGTAAGGACAGAGGAGGGTGCCTGGGATAAGAAGGGGCACAGGTGGGGCTCCTGGGTTAAGTAGGGGCAGAAGCAAGCTCCTGGAACAAGAATGGGCACAGGTGGGGCTCCTGGGTTAAGAATGGGCATAGGCAGAGCTCCCTGTATAAGAATGGGCATGGGGGAGGTTATTTCTGGGATAAGAAGGGACACAAGTGAGGTTCCCAGAATAAGAAGGAGCACATGTTATTTTTCTTGGGTAGGAAGTGGCACAGTTGGGGCTCCCAGAAAATAAAGTGTCACTCTCTGGATAAAAAGAAGCCCAGTCCAGAGGGGCTGTTTGGATAAAAAGAGGCACAGGTGGGGTTCCCAGAATAAGAAGCTGCACAGGTGTGGCCCCTGGGATATGAATGTGCACAGATGGAGCTCTTGGGATGTGTGGTTCAGGGGCGGACTGACCATTCAAGCACTCAGGCACTGCCCGAGGGCCCGGGGTCAGTAGGGGGCCCCATGACATGCCCCTGGTACCTTTCATAGGCTTTTTTGGGTGTGGTTTGAGTGTGGGTGAAGATTTAGGGGGCCCCACGATCCCCTATTGCCTGAGGGCCCCATGAGTTGTCAGTCCGCCCCTGGTGTGGTTCCAAGGATAAGAATGACCACTGGTGTGTTTCCATGGATAAGAAGGAGCACAGGCGGGGCTCCTGTGATAAGCAGGGCACGTGTGTTTTTCCCAGAATAAAAAGGGGCTTAGTGGGTTTCTAGGATGAAAAGGGGTACAGTCAGGGTCCTATAATGAAAATGAGTACAGGCAGGGCTCCTGGGATAAAAATATACACCGGAGGGGCTCCCAGGATAAGACGAAGCAAAGGATAATTAGAGGAGAATGGGACCCCCTCTGTTTTTTCTTGTTTAGCTGCTCTGTTCTGTTCCATAAAACGAGCAGTCCTTTATCTAAATAAGTCCGCAGAGATGACAGTAAAGTGACAAGTAGCCCGCAGAAGCCATTACCGTCACCTATTATATGATGCAGTCCCTGGGAAAATGCCAACAAAGTGAATGTGGATCGATGTTCCTATGTCTTGGAGGTGAATGTAAATCTGAGATTGGAAGGTAAAAGCTGGTGACAGATGAGGATTCACACTGAGTATAGGGAGGTGTGTGAATAATTCTTGTGTGATCAGAGTCAAGAGTAGGCAGAAGAGGAAGCTTGAGCACTTTAGCAGGACAGAGGACACAAAAAAGGCAGGGCCCCCGACCTATGCTGCTAAAGTGGTTTACAGCTCATGAAGTGTGGAGGGTATAACCTTGTCCCATCACTGACCAAAGATAATACGGCTTGGGAGTGAGCACGCAGGAGTGCCCCCAGAGCAGCTCACGGTGGGAAGACAATCCCTTCCACTGCATAGATGACAGAGCCCCAGCTGTCAACTCAGAATCCATCACGCAGGATCTTTCAGTTCAGGTGGGTTTCACAGACTGGAGCAGACATGCACCAGTCTGTCCAGGCTTGATCTGAGAGTCCTGCTCTGTCAAATGCCATGAATGGCATTGCAATAGCATTTCGAGAAATGCAACACATTACCATGCATTGCAGGATGATAAAATACAGTGTGGGTGTGTAGGGGAACTTAGCGTAGACCTCAGAGCAATGACTGAACTCTCCTTCTAAAACTACGAATTGCTTGCCTTCCATGGTATTCTCTTATCAATTTTACATCTCTGACCCACAACTGGTAATGTGCAAATCAGAAGTTCTGACTCCATATTGACTTCATTTGCTGCATGCTTGGTGTGGACAGAAGCTACAGACAGCTAATTTTTATTGGTATTTTAAGTAGAAGGTTGAAGGCATTATAAAAAGATAAAAAATAACAATACAAATCAAATCAGTTATTTGGGATAAACCTTTAAACTGGTTAAATGAGAACCCCTCCAAGCGGGCTCTGGCTGTACTTACCTGTGCTGTATTTGTCATGTTCCAGCGGAATGTACGGTGATGGGTATTCCCAGTGTCACAACCAACCTGTCTGGATTCGGCTGTTTCATGCAGGAGCACGTTGCTGACCCAGCTGCTTATGGTAAGAAAATACTCATAATGCACCTAACAGAAAACACCTGAATTTCATAAGGTTGGTACCACATTGAAGCTTTTGCTGCAGATATGTATTTAAACTGAACTCTGGGATAAGCAAAAATAGACTGACTACAAGAGTCGTGTGTATTCTTCCTTGAATCTTTGTGTGCTTTGTGTATTTCTTCCAGATCTAATCAGTAATCCAGCGTGAAACCTTGCCTCTGTGTAGGAATTTCCTGTAATAAAGACCGGTCACTGCTGCTATCTCCTTTTGCAGGGTGACTGGTCTTGTCTCCGCCCCTCCTGTAGTTTTCTGGAGGTATCCTGTACTGGGTGGAGCCTGCTGGGTCCCTCCCACAGCTCTGCTCTTTGCACAGGCTATGTACAGCATAGTGATTATGTCACTGCTGCTCTTACAAGGTAATATCTGGGCTTATAAAGGCATTTGGCACACACAAAGCAAACTTATATCCTTTGTGACTATTAACAAATTTAAAGGAAAGTTCTTGTGCCAAGAGTTTAAGTGATTCTAAAGGCTGAAGATGAAGGTAAAAAACTTTTAGTTTGCAGCTCCCCGCTCAGCCCCCGCTAATACTTACCTGAACCCGATTGCAATCTAGCGCTGTGCTTGGCTCTCCTGGGTCTCTCTCTCATTGGCTCCCGCTGCTGTCAATCACAGACAGTGAAGAGGGAGTTGGGGGGGAGGGGGGGGCACATACAGCTTTCTGTGTGTCTTATGGTCATACAGGGTTGGCTTGGGAGTGAGCATGCGGGATTGCCCCCAGAGCAAGTAGCTCCACACCCTCCAAACTGCATCAAATAGTGCGGGTGTCGGCAACCCGCGGCTCCAGAGCCGCATGCGGCTCTTTTTCATCTTTGCTGCGGCTCCGGAGCACACTGCCCACCAGGTGACAGGCAATAGGGTTTCAGTGGTCGGCAAGCCGCGGATCGCAAGCCACATGCGGCTCTTCTGTGTGCCGGGCGCCCGCTCCCCTCCCTCCTCTCGGGCGGCCGCCTCAAAAGTCAGGACTCTTTTAATCCGGCCCGCGGAGCGTGGAACATTAGCTGTCAGGATGTAGGCGGGGCAGCCAGGATGTAGGCGGGGCAGCGTGACGAACTCCTCTCACAGTCCGCCCTGAAGACCGGAACACAGCGCGGGAACACAGCGAGAGGAACGCGCGGAGCAAAGGTAAGTGAATTGAGACAATATTGGGAATTAATTACTATAGGGGGGATGAATTACTATGGGGGATGAATTATTATATGGAGGATTAATTACTATGGGGGATGAATTACTATGGAGGATGAATTACTATATGGGGGATGAATTACTATGGGGGATGAATTACTATGGAGGATGAATTGCTATATGGGGGATGAATTACTATGGAGGATGAATTACTATATGAGGAGGATGAATTACTATATGGGGGATGAATTACTATGGGGGATGAATTACTATGGAGGATGAATTACTATAGGGGGGATGAATTACTATAGGGGGGATGAATTACTATGGGGGATGAATTACTATAGGGGGGATGAATTACTATATGGGGGATGAATTACTATGGGGGATGAATTACTATATGGGGGATGAAGCTAACTGCACGATCCTGTATATAGCATTAAGGTAAGAAACAATATATGCAGTGTCGGATTTGTTTTAAATGTTGCAATGGTTTTGCGGCTCCCAGTCTTTTTTTTCCCTTCGGAAACGGGTCCAAGTGGCTCTTTATGTCTTAAAAGTTGCAGACCCCTGAAATAGTGGATGTGGTAAAATTTCACTAACAGTGGGATGGTCCCAAATGGGCATTAAATACCAATAGTGTGTGATATGTACAGAGAGCAGAGTTCGGGGGGGAGGTTTACACACAAAGCGCAGAGTTCAGGGGTGCGCAACGTTTATAGTGCAGAGTTCAGGGGTGCGCTTTTTCCATAGTGCAGAGTTCATGGGTGCGCTGCAAACAGAGTTTACAGTTCAAGGGTATGCTACACACAGATTGCAGAGTTCAGCCTTCTTCTTTTACACCTGCTTACATCTGCATGCCCCATCCATATCTCAATTTCACTCCTCTTCAGCTCTGACCTCTGCATGCACCCCCCCCCCCCTAAAGTGTTACTAAACCCACAATAGTAAAATCAGTCTGTATATGTAAAGCATGTTTGCTATACTCACTGTAGAACCTAAGGGGTTATTCATCTGCATTGTGTAAAAAGGATGTTTGATCCTCTCTTCTCTGATTCTCCCCTTCTTCCACTGTCCCCAATATATCTCCTGATAGAACAGAGCCTTGAGGACAAACTACACATGCTCAGTTTGTTGTGTATTGCTGGAGAGTTTTTTTATTTTTTTCTTGGAAGAGTGCATGTGATCAGCACAGGACCAATCAGCACTGTCCAGACAGAGGGTCAGGGGTCATGCAGCCAAATAGGCGAGATTAAAAACTCCTCCTACAAGCTTTAACCAGTGCTCTGCTGGACACTGATAGAAGACATGTCTTACTTTTGTTGCTGTATTAAGCTGAAGCACCCAGCCGGCTGTAGTACCTGCCCGCACATGGTAGGTGGCTCTGCCTCTCTCACTTGCAGGGAGGTCATCCAGTAGGGGTGTCGGCATCCTCACTGCACCCCGGGCACCTGCATCTCCCTTGTGCCCATCATACACTGAGTGGGCGCTGCTCAGTAGATCCGATCTGTGGGAGCCATTGGAAGACAAGCTATCACTTGTAAACACAGAAGCCATATTTCTGTGTTTACAAGTGAAAATGGTGAGCAGGAAGAAGAGGGACTAAGCCAGAGGTGGTAGAACGGAGTTACACCAAGTTCCAGCTGAAAAAAGTCCTGATCAAGTGGTACTCAATCCAAAAACAAACATTTATTAGATTGTAGCTTACCATTTCTTAGGTGTGACACAAGTAATAATGCAGCACAACTAAAACAGTGTCTCTTAGATAAATAAGTCCGAAATGATGAAACAAAAAAAAAAGGCCTTAAATATGTATGTGTGGCCAACCACCAGGGAATTCCAGATATCACAGTCTTCTCTTCAATGGATCACCCACATATCACATGCATCACACAGTGAGCCATATGCACTCACCTCCTGCATTGGACCTTAATCAATAATCAAGGTCAATCACACTTTTGCCCCTCTAGGACTATACTCCAACTGGTTCCTGGCTCCCAGTAACAATCACAGGCACTAACATATGGACTGAACTTCTATTTGACCTCCTCTTCTCCGTGTGACATGTACGGGCATATGGTTCACTGGGTGATTCATGTGCTATGTGGGTGATCCATTGAAGAGAATTCTGTGATATCTGGAATTCACTGGTGGTTAGCCACACATACATATTTAACCACTTTACATCTGCCTTATAGCAGTTTTACTGCTACAGGGCAGCTCGCCTGTGCAAAATCACGTGTGTATATATATATATGTGATTCTTCACTTCCGCCTCACGGGGACAAGTGTGCGCCGCCAACGGATCGCTTCTGCTGTGATTTGTCACAGCAGAAACTGATTTGTGAGTTCTGGTGAACGGAGGAAGTACAGAGCTGTGCATATGTTTATATAGATACATGACAGGAGAAAGTGATGGATCATGTGTCTCTTCAGAGCTGGGAATACGATTCCTCACTTCCTCTTGTACCAGAGCCATCTAATGTGCACCAAGTACATAGCTAGGCATACACTTCACCGTTTGATTTGATTTGGGTACAGTGTTGCATGACCGCACAGTTGTCAGTTAAAGTAACATAGCGCTGTACCGCAAAAAATGGCCTGGTCAGGAAAGGGGGCAAATCTTCCAGAGGTCAAATGGACTTTTTTTTTTGTTTGTTTGTTTGTTTCATCGTTTGGGACTTATTTATTTCAGAGACACTGTTTTAGTTTCGCTGCATCATTATTTGTGTGTTATATCTTAGAGGGATGGAGTGAAAACGCCTAATGGTGCTGGGCAGCAACTAAGAATTCACAGTTTTGTGAGCACATTGATTTGCTTGTGATTTATGTACATTAGGTTTATATGTCACAGATAGTTTATGGTATTTTACTTTAATTGTCTTTCACTTTCCACATTTCTTAGATTTGATAGTTGCATTAGTTTTATTTTTAGGCTTTATTTTCACCCAGGCCAATAGGCCTGTTTTTCAACAGAACAAACTGTCCTGAAGATATAGCAGTTAGATGGTTGAGACAGATCGTTTAATTCTGACAGGGGTGCTTACAATGGTCAGTTTTTATTGATCCCAAAGGGAATAACTGTTTGCTGTAACTGGTTACAAATTGTTAGCTTGAGTTTAGCTTCAGTTTATCTAAATCTGCTAGTACACCCTCTTCCCCCAGACTGACAATGCTGCTGTCTGCTATGCTCCTTCATCCAGCAGGTGAGTTACTGGTCAGATCACCAGGTAAAAACAGAGTTTAAAAAAGCCTAAAAAAGAAAACTAATGCAGCCACTACATCTAATGACTGGTAAGCTGCAATATATTACATTTTTGGTTTGGGTTTTAATACCTCTTTAACTGCTTCCCCGCACCCTATAGCAGAACTGCTGCTACAGGGCGGCAGGACTGAGCAAAATCATGTATATATACAGATCATTAGCGGCTACAGATAAAGATCACAGTGTCCTGGCCAGAGATTCCCCGCCAGCACCTGCCAAGGAACAGTGACAGGGGAGAGACCTGTGTGTAAACTCTCCTGTCAGCATGTTTACATAGTAAAACACACACAGCACACAGTTAAGCCTTTGATTGCCAAAGATGTTAAATCATAACATTCACAATATTTTTTGTACTTTACATTTTATTCAACTATACAAAATCTAAACATGTAATAATGACTTTATTTGCAGTTATATAAATTTATGTGGTCAGTTTGAGTAGAACACTGTCAAGTCCCAGAAGTCTTGCAGCACATTATTTGTTATCATACATTAAAGTGTGAGAAAATGTTATTGTGATTCGCAAGGCAAATCACCCCCTTACTGCATTCTGGAGTTTCGTGCATTTTCCATGCTACAGAGTTCTAGATATCATTGTAGTGTTACTAGAGGCCTCAGTCTTCTTATTAGAGACCTAATCTAGAGACTGCTGCCAGGTTACCGAACAGGAGCGCAGGTAAAGTGATACATGCTGCATATTAGAAACGTAGGGCCCAGTTCATGTAAGCCTTCCCATCCAAAAGGCAGGACTGTCCTAACTCACAGCACCCCTGGGCACTGGCCAGGGGCCCCAGGTACATAGGGGGGCCCTTCCCCCTGCAGTTTCTGGCACTCTTCCGGCGCTTTGCGGGGGTTTAGGGAAAACCCCCGAGGCAGAGCATCTTAATACTGCTGCTTGTGTGGGCAGGATGTGTACTGCTCTGATCCCCGCTGGCCCTCCTCTCCTATTCAACCCATTCTCCCTGAAAAGCACTGTAAACTGCAGGGGGGGGGGTATAGGGGAGGATTTCATTCCAATTGTATATTTAGCCTAGTGACAGAGTGCAAGAACAGTGCCCCCTGTACTGTGCCCCTCTGACCACTGTACTCTACCCTAGAGCCTCGCCTGTACTGTACCCTTCTAACACCTGTACTGTACCTTCCTGCCCCCTCTGTACTGTGTCCTTCAGCCCTCCTGTACTGTACCTTCCTGCCCCCTCTGTACTGCGCCCCCTCCTGTACTGTATCCTTCTGCCCCCTCTATACTGTGCCATCTTGACCCCCTGTACTGTATCCTTCTGCCCCCTCTATACTGTGCCATCTTGACCCCCTGTACTGTATCCTTCTGCCTCCCCCCCACAACTCTTGCCCCCTACGTTGCCCTGCTGACCCGCATACTCTGCCCTTTCCTCTGCTCTACTGACTTTTTATATTGTTTGTATATTTGTGTGGATTAGTCTTTTAAATTTATGGCATGCTTTCTTATTGCTTAAAATCGATTTTTATTGAAAGTACTGATAAATATACAGTGGTTATAGAGCCTTGCAGCCTGAAATGAAGACAGACGCATTTTTTTGTTTTATCCAGCTGTACTTACTCAGTGCAACTTATAACATTCATGTGAAAGATACAACACCAACATGTCAGAAAAAAAATCAAAAACAGAATCCATGAGTAGTAAAAAGGATCACTGCCCCCTTGTGTTAGTTTTTTTTTTACCCACCTTTCACTTTAATTCCAGCCTTTAGTCTGTTGGGATGTCTCTACTAGCTTTGCTCATCTAGTCTTTGCAATATTTGCCCATTCTTCTTTGCAGAACTGCTCAAGTTCAGTTAAATTTGATGGTGACCATTTGTAGACTGCAGTCTTTAAGTCATTCCACAGATTTTCAATGAGGTTTACGTCTGGGCTCTGACTAGGCCATGCAAGGACATTCACCTTTTTCTCCATCAATCACTGTGTGGTCATATTTGCTGTGTGCTTTAGGTCATTGTCATGCTGGAAGGTAAACCTTCTCCCCATTGACATCTTTTTTTGCAGAGGGCAGCAGATTTTCCTCAAGAATTTGATGGTATTTTGTCCCATCCATTTTTCCCTTTATCCTGAGAAGTGCTCCAGTCCCTGCTGCAGAGAACCCCCCACCCATAACAGGATATTACCACCTCCATGCTTTACTGTAGGAATGGTGTTATTTGGATGGTGAGGTGGATTGGATTTCCGCCAGATATATTGTTCAGTGTTGAGGCCAAATAATTCAGATTTAGTCTCATCAAACCATAAGACCTTTTCCCATTTGGCCTCAGAATCTTCAAGGTGCGTTTTGGCAAAGCTCAGTCATGACTGCATGTGGCCTTTCTTCGGGAATGGCTTTTTTCTTGCAACCCTCCCATACAAGCCACATTTGTGGAGAATGTGTGATATTGTTGTCACATGCACACAACGACCACTCTTTGTGTCAAATTCCTCCAACTGCTTCAGAGTTGCTGTAGGCCTCTTGGTAGCCTCTCTGACCAGTTTCTTCCTGGCTTTCATCCAGTTTTGGATGTCCTGATCCAAGGAGGGTCTGTGTTGTACCAAATACCTTCCACTTCTTAATATTTTAGTCTTCACTGTGCTTCTAGGCATTGTTAAAGCCTTTTAAATTTTTGGTATCCATCTCCTGATGGATACAACTTTATCTGAGAGATCTTTTGACTGTGCCTTGCCACTCTTAGGTTATTGTTTGCTTCAGTTCCACTATCACAGACTGAAATGCTCCAGGAAAGCATTTTCCATGCTGAGCTAATCAAAATGACCACAGCTGATCACAGTTGAAAGTCAAATGGCTTTGTGTGCCATTGAGAACATGATTCGCTACACCTGATTGGGTTTACAAGCCATTTTTAGGAATAGTGATCCTTTTTCCAACTCAGTGATTCTGTTTTTGAATTTTGGAATATTTTTTCTGACATGTTGTTGTTATATCTTTCACTAAGTTACACTGAGTAAATACAGCTTGCTAAAACAAAAACTGTTTCTGTCTTCATTTCAGGCTGCAAAGCAACAAAATATGATGATTTTAAAGGGGGAGGGGTGATTCTTTTCTATACCCACTGTATGTTCAATTCTATCAACAATGTATACTTTAATTCGTGAGGGAAGGTTCATAAATTGGGGTGGGCTGGTAGAGGGATAGTGCATTACTTTGCCCAGGGGCTCATGATCCTATAAAGATGTCCCTGCCAAAAGGTGCAAACTCGAATAATCAGAGGAAATAGTGAATAGGAAGATGGTTAAGGTTGGTTGTTCCCATTTAATTTTCAGGAATTTACATTGTGGATCGGAGGTTCCGCTCACCTGATGAATCATGTAACCAGCTGACCCAATTCTTGTACACCTTCTGTCAACAATCCAGACGCCAGAGAATAATCCAGAGAAATCGAACAGAACGATTGTCAGATCTGCTAGACTGGAGATATCTGGGCCGGGTAAGTGCAGAGTAATATCTGCTCTTTTCTTTTATATAATTCATTGCATGGTACCAATTCTCTTGTTCTGTATGGTGGGGGTATTTCTCATTATTAATACTCAAAGACTGTATACCAGGGGTAGGCAACCTTTGAGAGATGGAGATCTACCTGAGCAGCATGAAAGAGATCAAATATTACCTGGGTTCCATGCCCTTTTTAAAAAAAGACATTAACTAGCAAGGACGAATTAAATAGCAAGGAAAACTTAGCCTACATTAAAAGTGGACAGTGTCAGTTTGTAGATAAGTGGACTGTGTCAGAAGGGCAGGGAACGATGTGTGGACAGTGTCAGTAGAGCAGTGGATGGTGTCAGTAAAAGTAGTGGACGGTGTCAGTAAAAGCAGTGGACTGGACTGTGTCAGTAGAGCAGTGGATGGTGTCAGTAGGGCAATGGATGGTGTCAGTAGGGCAGTGGACTGTGTCAGTAGAGCAGTGGATGGTGTCAGTAGAGCAGTGGATGGTGTCAGTGGGGCAGTGGATGGTGTCAATAGGGCAATGGACGGTGTGAGCAGGACAGTGAACGATGTCAGTAGGACAGAGGACAGTGGCAATAGAGAAGTGGACAGTGTTGTTTATTTGTATTATTTTTTCAATTATTTTTTTCAATGTAGTTTTTATTTTTTTTTACTTTTTTAGGAACCCCATTGGGGGGCTTTGGTGAATTATCAGGGGTCCAAACAGAACACTGATGTCTTATGTTTGAGACAGAGAAAGGGACTGAGGACAGAGATTCCCCTCTGTCCCTTACTCAGCAGCCTCAGCTGTACTGGACAGCTCTGCGCTGAGTGGCTTCCAGTTCATTCACAAACACATAAAATTGTGTTTACTATGCTTGAGTTATGAATGGACACAGTCAGTGATTGGTACTGATAAGGCAAAGGAGCACACGGTGGGCCGGGCAACACCAGGAAGAGGGACCTGGAGAGGAGACGCAGCAGGGGTGGCATTTAGTGGAACTGATGGCTGTATTTTCCTCCCTGCAGCAGCTGAATGTCAATGGGAGGGAGAGGAGGAGAGGCTGGCATTGCCAGTGTTCAGCTGCTACAGGGAAGAAAATATTTATTTATTTCAGGTACTTATATAGCGCTGTCAATTTACACAGCACTTTACAAATATATATTGTACATTCACATCAGTCCCTAACCCTTAAGTGGTATACAATCTGAGGTTCCTAACTTACATTCATACATACACATACTAGGGCCAGTTTAGACAGGATCCAATTAACCTCCCAGCATGTCTTTGGAGTGTAGGAGAAAGCCCACACAGGCACAGGGGGAGAACATGCAAACTTCAGGCAGGTGGTGCTGTGGTTGGGTCTTGAACCAACGACCCGAGTACTGCCAGGCGGAATTGTAACCATTTTGCCACTGTGTTGCCCAATACAGCCATCAGTTCCACTAGATTCCCTCCTCTCGAGGCTCTAGGGTCAGCAACCAACACGATTTACCCGTCACCTGCCCGCGATCGATTTGTAGATTGCAAGTGATGTTTTGCCGCCCCCGGCTGTATACTATATTGTTCTGGAATCACGTAATGATAAAAGTCCACAGTTACATGGATGCCTTAAAATATTGATCAACAATAAAGGTTAAGTATAATTCTCAGTATCTGTATTTATGGACTCTGCACAGTACCACGTCTCTTGTACTGTATGCCGGGTGTAATTCTCAGTATCCGATCTTATTCTGTATGTATGGACTCTGCACAGTACCACTTCTCTTGTCCTGTATATTGGGTGTAATTCTCAGTATCTGATCCTATTTTGTATGTATGGATATTTTTATTTGTATAAACAAACAAATTACAAGGTAACAAAACTGTAACCATCATAAAAACAAATAGCACATAAACCAACAATGTAACAACTGCTTACATAGTCTTCTCTTGTCCTGTATATTGGGTGTAATTCTCAGTATCCGGTCTTATTCTGTATGTATGGACTCTGCACAGTACCACTTCTCTTGTCCTGTATATTGGGTGTAATTCTCAGTATCTGATCCTATTCTGTATGTATGGACTCTGTACAGTACCACTTCTTTGTCCTGTATATTGGGTGTAATTCTCAGTATCTGATCCTATTCTGTATGTATGGACTCTGCACAGTACCACTTCTCTTGTCCTGTATATTGGGTGTAATTCTCAGTATATGTTCTTATTCTGTATGTATGGACTCTGCACAGTACCACTTCTCTTGTCCTGTATGCAGGGTGTAATTCTCAGTATCTGATCTTATTCTGTATGTATGGACTCTGCACAGTACCACTTCTCTTGTCCTGTATATTGGGAGTATTTCTCAGTATCTGGTCTTATTCTGTATGTATAGACTCTGCACAGTACCACTTTTCTGTCCTGTATATTGGGTGTAATTCTCAGTATCTGATCTTATTCTGTATGTATGGACTCTGCACAGTACCACTTCTCTTGTCCTGTATGCTGGGTGTAATTCTCAGTATCTGATCTTATTCTGTATGTATGGACTATGCACAGTACCACTTCTCTTGTCCTGTATGCTGGGTGTAATTCTCAGTATCTGATCTTATTCTGTATGTATGGACTCTGCACAGTACCACTTCTCTTGTCCTGTATGCTGGGTGTAATTCTCAGTATCTGATCGTATTCTGTATGTATGGACTCTGCACAGTACTACTTCTCTTGTCCTGTATATTGGGTGTAATTCTCAGTATCTGATCTTATTCTGTATGTATGGACTCTGCACAGTACTACTTCTCTTGTCCTGTATATTGGGTGTAATTCTCAGTATCTGTACTTATTCTGTATGTATGGACTCTGCACAGTACCACTTCTCTAGTTCTGTATGCCGGGTGTAATTCTCAGTATCTTATTCTGTATGTCATAATGTACTTTCTCATCTCTTGTAGTTCTACATGCATGCACGTCACCTGGCTCTCTGCCGAATGTTTCCAGACAAGTTTGAAATGGAGCCTAACGCACCGCCAAAGGTGAGTACCAGAACACAGTATATACTGGGGACAGTTCACCAATTTCTGGATACGCAGAACCCCTCTACCATGGCTTTTGTACCTGTAATGTCATAATTTAGAGGAGCATTATGTCAAGCCGGCAACAATAAGGCAGCTAAGTGGGGAATGAATGCCAACATAAAATGAGAGAAACTCAGAATGCAGGATGCCCCCCCCCCCCCCCACACCCCTTCCAGGTGAGATTAACCCTTTCACTATCAGATCTCATATGTATAGGTTACCTTACTAGGCAAGCCATAGTCATCGCTGGTGATGCATAAGATTTCCCCTCTACTGGTACTTCTGCAAATCAGAATTCAGCTCAGGAATTTGTCTTCCAGCCCTGGCTCTGTCTTTCTTTATCTCTCCTGTAAATATCATTTTATTGTGTCCAGATCAATAATATCATAAAAGGTGTACGAAAAGGAAGTGCTGACATTGCTTCAACGCCGAAAGCAGCTCATAACTTATACACCAAAGTGGATATAACGCCAATTAACTTCCATGTAGTGGGTCATAAAAGTGACAGATGGATTGGAGAATGAAAATGATGTTTTCTGGGTTTCTGAGGCTGCAGAGAGCGCAACTCAATAAGAAAGAATCTGCTTTATAATAGACTCGGATACCATGAATTATAGCATTCACGCATCCATTCATTTTGAATAGTGTGCCAGTGCATTGAAATTTTAACAACTGCTGGCATTACAATGCGCACGTGACAATTTACAATGCCTGGCATTACCATGCACAGATGGTTCACGTGTGTACACTGTAGTGCGCTAAAACACAAGTTGTGCTACACTGCCTAGGTACATTGGGGAGCCATTCAAAAGGAATAGCACTGCATTTTATGAATGTTTTACCATTTAACACAACCAATCCCTGCAACACATCTGTTTGATTGGGCCCCCTAAAAGTTTTACTCTTGAATTTACAATGACCTGATATGGTGTAGAGCAAAATGAGTATCAGACACAGACTGAATATTCCCAGCCATGGCCAGGATGGCGCAGTTCTGCAGATGTAAAAGTATGGATTTTGTCTGCACATCAAGGTGTCATTCTAGTATCTTTTTTTATTTTGTGAGATGTTTTGGGGCCACACAGGGTCCCTGTTTATGAATCAACAGAGAACATAGCACCAAAATGTTGCATATCTTAGGCTGCCTTCACACCAGTGCAGAACGATTTTCATGGGTTTTCGGGCGTATTTTTGTTGAACATTTTCACAGTTTCAAAGCCTTCAGGCATTTCTGTTAAGGCAATGGAAAGCATTGAAGGCTAAAAAATGCCTAGAAGAAATGCAGAAAAATGCTCAATTTGTGCTTTTTCAGACATTCCCAATCAAGTCTACGGAGCCCATTTCTGCTTCAAAAGTTGGTCAGGTAGCTTTTAGAGCATCAGGTGTTGAGCTAAAAGCACCCAACGCACACAGATGAACAGCCACCATTAAAATACAAGGGATTTTTGGATTTCAAGCATTTTGAAACATGAAGCTTTGAGCTATAAAACGCCCAAGTGTGAATGGGCCTTATTGTAAATAAATAAAAGCAGACATTGGATGGGCATTGTACATTTATTGTGACACAGCGAGATGCAGCACGTTGTTTTAGGGATGCAAAAATGAGCAAAAGGTATAAGGGACATCTTCCAATCAGAATACGTGTTCAGTGACATCTGGAAATCTTTCACATTGGGGAGGATCCCTCGCTTCCTGTTGAGTCTGCAAGACAGGAAGTAAAGGAAATCTTCCCAACCAGATGGAGACAGCAAAAAATAACCTGATAGGGGTTCTAAACCTCACACTACCCTAAACCCAATTTTCCAGGATGAACTTATGGGAGAAATAGAAGATTTATTAGAAGATTATTTATTAATAGAATATTAGCTGAAGGCAGGATTGGCTTCCCTGAAGACGTATGTTTTCAGGGATCGCCAAAAAGTGGACAGAGTAGTGATAGTTCGACAGATTGGGGTAGAGAATTCCAGAGGATGGGGGGAGGCTCCGGAGAAGTCCTGGAGACGAGGAGGAGACAAGGGAGCTAGAGAGCAGGAGGTCTTAGAAGGAGCATAGAAGATGGTTTGGGTGATATTTGGAGAGTAATGGCTTTATATGTGATTGTTAATGTTTTGAATTTTATCTGTTGGGCAATGGGAAGCCAGTGGAGGGATTGGCAGAGAGGGGTGGCAGATATAGAACGGTTAGTAAGGTGGATGAGTCTGGCAGCAGCATTCATGATAGACTGAAGAGGGGATAGCCTGCGATTCGGTAGGCCATTGAGGAGGGAGTTACAATAGTCAAGGCGAGATATAACAAGGGAGTGAATAAGTTGCTTAGTGGTTTCAGAGATTAAAAAGGGGCGTATCTTGGAGATGTTACAGAGGTGGAGTCTACAAGATCTGGACAGTGATTGGAGTTGGGGCTGAAAGAACAGGTCAGAGTCCAGGATTACACCTAGTACCCTGGCATGAGGGGAGGGACTGATGATTGTGTTACTGAACTTGATGGAGAAGTCAGGGGAGGGGGCACGGGCTGGGGGGAATAGTATGAGCTCAGTTTTACAAAGATTGAGTTTGAGGAAGTGGAGTGACATCCGCGCTCGTATGTCAGTTAGTAAGTTAGTAATGAGAGAGGAAACCGAAGGAGTGAGGTGAGGAGTAGAGAGATAGATTTGTGTGACCGTAGTAGTTGTGAGGGAACAGGATCCAGGGGACAGATGGTAAGGCGGGCTTCTGAGAAGAAATTAGTGACCTCTTTGATAGTAGCAAGGTCAAATGTTCAGCAAGTGGTAGCAAATGTTGAGGGTGGTTTTGTATAGGGTACGCTAATGGGGATAGATATCTGTGCAGTGGAGATAAAAAGTGGAAGAAAAAGGTGCTGTGCTAACGCGCAAAATAATAATACGCATTAATTAAATGATATCCACATAGCATAGTGCAGTAAAGTTATTTTATTGAAAAAAACACATAAGAAAAATGCACTCACAAGGGAAAAGGGCTGCAAACACCCCCTCAAACAGCATGGTATTTTGGTAAACAAAGATGGCGGCGATTGTAGCCACAACCAGAAATTACGTCACTACGCTTCCATCCAACGCATTGCGTCACGTATCATGTGACTTCATCAGGGACTATTATGTTGCACTTTATTCATGGGATATGAATCTCACTTTATTTACTTTACAAAAATGTATTACATTGATCCAATACGCTACTTACCCCTGTGGTAGGGTTTTTTTTTCTTTTTATGTGGATTTCTTCTTCACTGGCTTTTACTGTATATACACCTCCACTGTATTTTCATTTATTTCTTTATTTTCTGACGATATCATTTAATTAATAAGTATTATTATTTTGCATGTTAGCACAGCATCTTGTTCTTCTTTTTATTCTTACAGTGGTGGAACACCTTACGGGTGCCTGCTTGTGATTTTATCATTTTATTTATTATTATTTATGTTACCATTTCTGTTCTTATTTGCAGTGTAGGTTTTTATTTTTTTGTGTGGCAGCCCATAAGACCACTATTGTGCAGTGGAGATGCCCCCACAAATTGCATCAGTCTTGTTTTTGAAATAATTGGCAATCTCGTGAGCAGTGAGTTACTGGGTGGGGGTGGAGAAAGTAGAGTGTTGAAAAGTAGAAAATTAACTCCTTCTCCCCCACTGCCCCTTAAAGTGTTATTAAAGGTCATTTAAAAAAATAATATAAAATAATAAACATGTTATACTCACCTGCTCAGTGCAATAGTTTTGCACAGAGCAACCCCAAACCTCTTCTTCTAGGGTTCTGCACTGCTAATATTGGCTCCTCCTCTTCTCCACATGCCCCCTTAGCAAGCCACTTGCTATGTGGGCATACATTGCATGTTCACTCCCGAGCTGTGTGAGTCTATAGAGCTGAGCTCCATAAACACACACAGTGCATCTTGGACCTGCCCCCACTTCCTCTTCACAGTATTTGATTGACAACAGCAGGAGCCATTGGCTCCTGCTGCTGCTCGAATCCCTGTGTGAAGAAGAAGAGAGGGGAGAAGAGATGCAGCCGTGCACAGCGCTGAATCAGTTGAGGGGGGAGGACAGCAAGCTATAAAACGTTTTTTTACCTTTATGCAAGGAATGCATTCAAGTAAAAAAATATTTTGGCTTTAGAACCACTAAGTATTATTCTCCTGATTTTTTTTTTTTCCGTTTTCTAACCATTAACATAAAAGACCAAGTTAGATCTATGCATGTGCGTAATGGTGCATTTTTTGTGTTCTTATGCAGGTGCGTTATGCTTCACTTTGTTTCCTTTTTGCAATAACATTCATTTAGATGTACATTTTCAATGCATTTTTTTTAATTTAGAATTTGAAGTGGATAGGGTTAACAGCCAACGACCAACGCTTGCTAATACTTTTTTGCCATTGCATTGGTTCCATTCATGTCTCTGGGCCTCCTAAATCACTAAAATGCTTAAAAAATGAAAAGTCGTATTTTTCAATATGCACTGCACTGCAGAGGTAAGGTTAGAAGAAACACTATTTTTATTGTGGGGAAGACGGACACATTGTAGCACCTTGAAACATGGGCATCAAATGCAACAGTGTAAATGTGCCCTTAAGGCTACATTCACTCTGAGCTGAGTGTTTTCAGGCGTTTTTTTAAAGCTTTTTTCAGGTGGTTTTAAGTATTTTTTGAGCAGATTTTTTTAAAATATCATAGGAGTTTTTTCAGGCATTTTCATTTAGGTGGTTTTGCTGTGGCCAATAGAAACCTTTGTAGACAGGGCTGCTGTCAGAAACTACGAGGCCCCATACAGACGGCCTGACAGAGCCCCCCCCCCAAAAAAAAAAAATCAGTTTACTATGCTTCAGCTATGAATAAACACAGAGTGATCGGTACTGATCACTCTCTGTGTTTATTTAGGAAAAAGGGCTGGTAAATGTGACATATTTACAGGACCCTTCCCCCATTCTCCATCCTGAAGGATCCTATTGTGGTGCTTGCAGCTGCCGATGGGAAGGAGAGGAGGGAAGCTGGTAGCCCTGGAGGGTGGGGGCACACAGGGGGAAACGTGCTTCACGGGGAGGTGATGAGTGAGGCGGGGAAAGGGAGCACTTACTGAAACTGATCCTCCCGTATGGCTCTCTCTGCAGTAGCTCAAAGGCAGCAGAAGGGAAAGGAGAAGAAGCCAGCTTTCAGCTGCTGCTGAGAGCCATACAGGGGATCGGTTCCAGTAAATTGCCCCGTCATACCGATTACTCTCCCTGCCTACATCCAATTCATCCAGCTGCCTGGACCCCATACAGGAGGGACTGGCGGTGCCCCCTTATCCACTGCCCTGTGTGTAGATGTGTCCTTGGCATACACAACAAGAAAACTAGAATCAAGCACATGGCTGCTGTACACAGAAGTTCTGTACTTTTTTTCTTGATCCGGGGAGCAGTGTAGCCATTCCACTGGGGCAGCAAATTTCGAGCCACTTCCTCCCAGGCGCTGGGGTGGCCACGAATGAGAGCAATGGATGTCTCAGCTTCCAGAAGCATTCTCTCCTCCATTTTGATCCCAAGATGTGTGTTTATAAGGTGCGGAGTGATGCTAGAAAAGGGGAGCTGCTGTCTGAGCTGAAATTGCCTGGAAAAAAACCTTAAAAACTCTAATTTCTTACTGTTCAGGTGTTTTCCATTCATGTCTATGGGACGAAAAAACACTCAAATCTGCCTGAAAAGTAGCGCATGTACTTTTTTGAGCGACAGGTGTTTTGCTATAGGTGACAAAATTCTCCAATGTGAACAGTGACCATTGAAATGAATTACATTTTCCTTGCTGATCATTTCTGAGCGCCAAGCTTCGAACTGAAAATTGCTCTTGTATGAACAGGGTCTAAACCTTTTTTTTTTTAATGTTTTATTTGTTAATTTCTTTTGGTGTCACACTTTTTAATAAAAAAAAGCACAAAAGTGGAAAAGTGTATTTCATTTACTCTTAAAGTGGAGCTCCACCCAAAAGGGGAAGTTCCACTTTAATGTTTTGTCCCCCGCTCCCCATTAAGGATTGGCAAATTTGGGGAGCGGGTACCCGAATTTGACAGGTACCTGCTCCCACTGCAATTGCCTAAGCTATCGGAAGCGGAAGTTGTCCGCCCTCCCTCCCCATAGTCTTCTGGGACACATGACAGGTTCCAGAAGACTACGGGCCATTCACATAGCGCAGCGCTTCTCGCACATGCACAGTGGACACCCGGCAGTGAAGCCGCAAGCTGTCATAGCCAGGTGCCCACACTAAAGATGCCGGTGCTAGGGAGAGAAGACGGCTGGTGAAACTAGCGGTGGTGAGGACACCGCTGGACCCAGGAACATGTAAGTTTTTGTAGCTGCTTTTATTTTTTTTTTTCAGCTGGAACTCCGCTTTAAAGTTGTTCGAGAACAAACAGACCCCTAGCAGAACTGAACAAATTGCTTCTTAACCACTATATGAATCTGTGCTATTTATCACTATCCTTGAAAGATCCAATCCCAGTGTGAAAGAATAAAAAGACCAACTGATTAAAAAAACACAAAAACAATTGTCTAGTATTCCACAAAGTCCTTTTACCTCTTATTATCTATTACAGACGGAGGGATTCCGCTACCCCAGACCTTCCTCAGTCCCCCCCCCTCACCAGCCACCTCCCGGCCGTCCAGTCCTCATTCTAGTGATGATGAGGATGAAGAAGAGGATGAGGATGTGAGATATGATGAGGATGAAGAAGCAGAGAGGGATCGCCAGAACATTAAATCGACGTTTGGTGTGGGCCCGGTGCCCCGCGGAAGGAAGAAGAAGCATGGCGAGTACAGGAATTGAATTATCAAGCAGCAGAGATCCGCCTATACCTGTGCAAATGGGAAGGCCTGCAGCATGGTGGCACACAGTATACAGCACCCCCCCCCCCCAGTGACTGGGAAGAGATCAGTCATTTTTTTGATGTCTGTAGTGTAGATGTGTATTGTTTAAAGTGATTGTATATTTGTAGTAAATAGACATTCCTTTGTCAATCTGGTGTGCCTCTCCTCTCATTACATTTTAAAATTTCCAGGAATTTTCAACAAAACCACAAAGAATTCACAAATGGCTGGATCTGATGCAGATCTTTGCAAAATGTTGAAGTCCTATTCATATCATAATGCAGTGTGCCACAATGTAAGCTTTTCATGGGTTGAGGTGTGTTGGGTTAGGCAGCTCATTCATTTTATCAATGCACCTAAACACACAGAAAAATAGTCCCTGCAGCCCATTTACTCCAGTATTAGTACAGCACTGCTATTTAAGGAGTTTGACAAGCGAATCCTCAGAAGTACAAAACCAATGAATGCTTTTTCACACGGACAGCAGCGGTTACGATGCTTTGCTTCAGGGCATTTTTAACTCAGGATGTAGAGTTTGACAGGCAGCATAGCCTGTTGAACTCGCCCATTGAGATTTATGGGATTGCAAATGCTTGGCTCGCATTGCAGTTCTGCAATGTAAAGTTTCCATTTGGTACTTTAAAAAAGAAGTATTTCCTCTTGGTATCCACCATTTTGCTTTCTATGATGGATGTCCCGTCTGCGAAACGGAAAGCAACATGTCATGTCTATGTTTTGACTGTGATCTATGGCTGTACATGCTCTAAATGCTTTTGTCTTCTCTTACAACAATAAAGTATTTTTGGAAATAAAAAAGAAGTAAAAAAAAGCAGGCATCAAAAGATGGCAATAGTGCCTCCTGAATGCCTGATAGCTGCTGCTATACTACCCTTTGCAAAGTGATCCATTATGGCTCACTTTTCAGAGGGCGGTAACATTACTGCCAATGTAAAAGCATTGTCAGAGACAAAGCCACTTGCACTGTGTGAATGGCAGTAACAAAACACATTTTTGTCTGGATATATACTTAAAGTACTGCTATAGACATATCATAACAGCAGCCATTTACACTGGAAAGGGAAATTTTGAGTCCTTCTGTAGCTGTCTATGTGGAAAAAAAACTACATTTTTATAATCATAACTTTGTTTTTTCCATTGCCCAAAACTGACTGTCAGAAACAAAGCTTGGGGGGGGGGGGGTATTGGACTATTGTTCCGCTTGCTAGTCATTTCAGTGTAATGCAGGCAGGGGCAAACTACAATTCACTAAGCTCTCTTGTGTCTTTATGCAAATCAGATGTCTACTATTGTCTCTTATCAACCATGGCACCTAGGAGCTTGGAATTCTATGTACAGAATTAACCTGCGCAGAACAAAAAGTGGGTGGGGCTGGGCCTGCAAATGACACTAATAGCTTATCCATCAGAGAAGACAACAGCATTGTTCATGCCTTCTCTCCAGCATCATTTTGTAGTCTTTGTGGACATAGCCAATGTAAGGGTGATAATGAAGCCATTTTGAAAAGAGGTGACCTAGCGTTGTCATCCTCTAACAGGAACTTACATACAGCAGAGAGCTCTGGCAGGATCAACAGGTAGGATTCAGAATCGTAGGATTTGCCGGGTGAATAACAAAATTAAAATTATAGAGAGTAACTTTTTATGCTGAAAAATATAACAAATTCTAATTTTTGCTTTAGTTCTACCATAAATAATTCTGAAGTTATAGAAAATTATCAAACTAACGCCTTCTCATGCTAACAAACTGCAACCCTACAATGTAAATGTTTCCTAACTGCTGAAGGTGTGAATGACCACCACTAACCTGCAGACAATCTCCCAAATCCATCATTAACAATCTGATGGCATAATATAAACAAACAGCTGAGATGAAATTTATTCTCACATTTCTGCTGATATAAAATACATTTTATATATTTTACAATCATTTCCTGGCTGGAGAGTTTAATGATTGTTAAAACAAAGAGAAGGAAAGTCAGAAGGTCAGAAATGGAATATTATGTACAGGGCAGAGAGTTTGCGGGTGAGTAGTTAGAGCTGGATAGATGCCCGCTGGGAGTGCGTGGTTACAGCAGGTGTTGCGGGGGGCATGGTTTCACATAGAGGGGCAGTGTAGTCAGCGGGCGTCAAGGCTCTTTGCAATGATTTCACCAACTGAACAGCGACTCCGGTAAATACCCAGCCTGGTCCACCCCATCTTCAGCTGCAGATTAAAGGAAAAAAATGGGTATTAAAAGAAATAAAAATTAAATACAAAACATTTCATGAATCGCCACACTACACAAAAGCTGAGCGGCCTTCAAACTAACAAAATAATAAATGATCACTATACTTAAATGCTCTTTCAGCTGGAGGCTGGAGAGTTGAGCTGGTCATACACTAAGAGATTTTCAAACCACATTCATACGAAAATTTTATTATCACATTTGATGACTTGACAAATGTCGTTTGAAAGTGCTTCAAAAGACATAACTTTCGAAGCGAATGTAATATCCCTGAACAAAAACCCCATTCATTGTTCAAAATGTGTTCATTCAAGAAAAAATTTCCATCCTGTCCCTTTAAATTTTCTAACTAACAATCACAAAATGTAATGAACATTCATGAAATAATAATTTTCCAATGAAATCCTACTAGTGTATGGTCAGCTTTAATGGTACCACCACTCTCTTAGCATGTCTGAAACTGCATTCACATTTGTGAGCCGAGTCTACTCTTAGGGCTTGTTCACACTAGATTTGCTCTGTAAAGAGTGATCTGCGTCTGGATTGCTCTTCAGAGAGCATTTTACAGATGGTGAGGAGGTGTATCGCATTGTCCCCTGAATGCATTGTCCCTGCAACTGAGCTTCCAAGTTTATGGCGCACTCCAAACTGAAGTGAAGATTTCAAAAACACCCTATACAAATGTAACTTTAGGCTATCACTACTTCTGAATGATAATCACTACATTGTATCAACTCTTTGATCGAGTTATTCAGGTATCAGCCAGGCACTTACATTTGAAACTTAGAAACCATTTTTGTAGATTTGCACAGTAAAAATACTGTAAGTTGCCTCTAATGAAGTGTGCCCATCTCTGGCTGCTGCAGCCTTCCTTAAATCTCTTTTATTTAGTCCTGTCGCTGCTGAATGCCTGGCACTGAGACTTTTAGTTCCAGCTGTAGTACAGATATCAAAGGTTGTCACGCACATGGCAGCTCCCCTATTCAGAAAAAGCTTTGTATTTTTTCCACAAACTGCAAGGAGTTCTGTGAATAAATGATCTCCTCTCCTCCATTCAAAGAATACATTTTGTGTGGGTGATTCAATAAATCCCTACAGACACTTTGCTGGCAGTATGGCCTTTTAAAATGGCTTGCGCCTGATGAAAAAATCCCTACCACCCATTTCATTAACCTTACCTACACATGCAGAAGATTCGGGTAGTTGTTATTAGCACCACTTTTACAAAGTGGCACTATTAATGGACCAGATTAAAAAATAACTACATCCAGGTTGTAGATAACAAAAGTAGAGGCAAGTAAGAGTGCCTGTCCATGTACATAGTGTAGAGGAGTGGCATTTTTTTGCTGCCAGCTTTCTGCTCGGCCCCTCCACTGGGCTGTGGAAGGAGCAGGCATCTGGGCAGATTCCGACATTATTGTCGGGATCCCTGTAGAGCCTGGAACAGCTCTGTGATGTCAGCTGGCTTTAGCCCATTGTTGGCTGAATCTGGGTCACAGAAGTGCATAATTAAATGCATCCCTGTGACCCACAGGAGAAGTAGGGCCAAAAGAGCTTTGGCCCTACTTCTCCTTTGAAACAGAACTAAGCCCTCCTATCCTTTACAGCCAAGGAAGTGGGCATCTTGGCCCCTGTTTGATCTGCATTTTGATGGCCTGTCAGTTTGATTGAGAGCACAAGCAACTGTGACAACTAATATTCAGGACATGCCTTGAATGAAACTGTTTTGGAAAACAGTTAAAGTGATGGGTTTAGTTACGCTTTGTTAGTCAAATCCATCTAAACCTGCTAGTGCATTACCCTTTCCCTTGGAATGTCAATGCTGCTGTTCAAAGGTCTAATACTGTCCATTGCTCCTCCACCTAGAATGGAGACACCCTGGGACATGAAGTGTGTTACAGTCTTAATCACCAGGTTAAAATAAAGGCAAAAATAAAAAAAATGCCACCCACATTTCAGGATTGGCAACCTGAAATACATTACCTTTTGTGTGTTTAATATCAGTTTTATAAACTGTTTAAAATTTTTTAGGTTACAGAGTTTTTTGTTTGCAAATACATGTGAAGTTGTACTGCCACATCATGGCACCTTTGCCAGTTGTGCTTCCTAAGGCCCCTTTCACACGGGGTGTGCAGAATCCAATCTAATGATCAGAGGATCAGGTCACAGATCCCCTTCTAATCAGAACAGGGAGGTGGATGACACATCTGTATCTGCTCACTTTCTGCAGAGCGGACACGGACAGAGCCCACTGTTCTCTATGGACGGCTGGGAGGAAACAGACTCCACTGTCCATTTACACCAGACTATCCTCCGATCTGATCTACCTAAATGGAAGAGGATGGATCCCCTTCCATTTATTTTTGGGGGACCGGATGGTCCCAGAAGTAGGTGGGTGTAAATGGACACATGTCTGTTTACACCCACGTGTACATAGGGATTATTGGACCTTCCAATCAGGTCCACCTTAAAAACTGACAGGAAGACCTGATTGGATTGCCTGTGTGAAAGGGGCCTAACACTGAATTACCAGTGTAGGACATATATCTAGCAATGAAAACATGGAAGGCAGACATATCATGGTGGTACCCCTTCCCTCCTTAAAGTGGAGGTTACATGACAAAAATTGCTTTGCTGACACCCTCCAAGAATAATATGTGTAATAAAATCTGGCAAAAATAAAACTTTTTGACAAAAAAAAAAAAAAAAACTTTGAGCCCCGACTTCCATCCACTTTCTGGAAGTGTTGGTAATGATCAAGGGAATGATGGGTGCTGGAAATCCTATGAGAATGTGTTGGCTTCACATGCATTTCCAAATGTTTCTTATTGGAATTTTAGGAGTTTAGTTATAGGGGAATTTTGGATTTCCCATCTTATTGTGGGCCCATTGAGGTTTTTCCAATATGGCTTCATGGTTTTACTTTCTTGAAAGCTACAACATTTATCACATTTTCTTTAAAAGTGAGGTGACACCTTAAAGAGATTTTATATATAAAGTAAGATCTACCTACCTTCCTCCTGGGCCTTCTGCAGAGAGCTCAGAAACATGGCTGCCGCCTCTGATATGGTGATGGGACTGGTATTTCGACTGCGTGTCTCTAGAAGAGGAGAACATTCACTGATTATCAGGCGGTTCACCAATCAGTATTGGTCTAAGGTACCCACAGACAGACAAATGACACACCTGCCCATCATCCAGCCCGCAGCACCCATAACAATGTTTCTTCCACATCATACACATGCAGAATATACTTATTTTATTGAAAAAAGAAAGATGACTGTGCCCTGAAAATCTCTGTGCAATAAATATGGCAAAAATGTGCCATTGGAGAGAGGACCCATGTGATCAATGCAGCCTGATAATGAGTCAGTGTAAGCCTTCTGGATATTTATTACCTCTCACAGATATTATAGTACTATCTCTGACAATACCTCTATCTACTTTTTCTCTACAGAAGAACGGCACCATCTTTGTTCAGGCATAATCCAGGGTCACTTACTGGACTGGCATGCCAACTCAAAGGTGACAGAATCATGTTTTTCCTGTGCAGTTCTTGGCTGTGTTCACAAATGTCTGACACAGGTCAGCTCCTACTGCAGCCTCTCGCCTTGTGACTTGCTACAAAGCCACAATGTTGCAGTCTGAACACTGGAGGAGAGGAGACTGAGGAAATTCATCCTGCTGCTTGCAGCAGACTGATGACATCTTCACAGCCTAGGCAAAGTAATGAATAAAGCATAAGGATGGCTTTTTAATGATACAAAGTTGGACTTTTCTTAAAAAAAAAAAAAAAAAAAAATATATATATATTTATTTTTTATTTTATATATATATGAATTTCAAAGCAGCCCAGTTGCCCAGTAATAAATATGAAGCTCACACCTAAAGGAGATGACCATTCACAAACATTAATTATTGGGGACCTGACAAATCTACATTGATATTGTTACCCTGAAAAGTTTGGTTACATCTGATTGCTGATTGATGCACTCATGAAACAAAATATCAACAATAATCACAAGATACCTTAATGCTGGATTGTCACATGTATAGAGCTATCTGCAGATCTACACTGTGTCATAGGTGTGTGTTTTCAGATGGCACAGATCACTACCGTACCAGTCACCAGGTAATTCAGTTCTGGATGGAGTGGAGTTATAACCACTGTCTGGTTTTTATTTCTTATTTCTGAAGTGAGGGCAAAACTAACATTTATTGGTTGTCACTGCAACAGGAATTGGGTAAATCTCCCCAATGGGGATGCATACAGTTCTAGGAAAATGTTATAGGATCTTTTCTTTCCCCAGTCTACTGAATGCTAAAGATAAAAATCTGACTTGAGCCCTACTTTGTTTTTTTTTTTCTGGTTTCAAAAACTGTTACAGCAAAATGCAGATTTGATGGCAACAACAAAGTAGCATCTCAGACAATGAGATCAATGGCTGGATTCTTCTGTACAGTATTAGCAGAGAAGATATAGAGATTTACCCAGCTGGAGTCTGTCAAAAAGATCCTTCCTTTGACTTTCATCAGAAATGAATCGCCGGCCTTCTGCAAAGCACAATCGGAGCACAGTTAATGGGGTGGCAGACTCCACTTTAACTAAAAGACTCAGACCACATTAATCATTGCTACACAAACATTTCTTAGTAAATATAGTTACTAAAAAACACATTTTCTTCCCAATCTGCAGTATATATAATGTTTGCAGCCATGACATGCTGAGGTTGAGTGGAGTGTCAGGCAGAGTTTCAAACTGTAAGGCCATCCCTTGTTCAATAGCACAGGCCTTTAACCACTTGCCCTCCAGAGCATTTACCCCCCTCCCGAACCTGGCCATGTTTTGCGGTACGGCGCTGCGTTACTTTAACTGACAATTGTGCAGTCATACAACACTGTACATACATTAAATGTATGTCTTTTTTTCCCCACAAATAGAGCTTTCTTTTGGTGGTATTTGATCACCTGTGAATTTTTTTTTTGTGCTATAAACAAAAAAAGACCGACAATTTTGAAAAAAAACCAAAACAATATTTTTGACTTTTTGCCATTAACCATTTGCCCGCCGCTCTACAGCAGAAATACTGCTACAGCATGGCAAGGCTGTGCAAAATCACACACACACACATATATATATATATATATATGTGTGTGATTTGCATTTCCTGGTGGGGAGCGTGCACACTGCACTACTCGCGCTGCCATTAGCGGCTAGGCATGTCAATCACCTGGTCCCAGCTGGAGATTCCCCGCCGACACCTGCCGATTGCCCTGCAAACCTGACAGGGGAGACACCTGTATGTAAACAAAACAGGTTTCTCTCCTGCCACAAGGACATGCAGTTTTGTATTTCTCTACAAAGCAGAATGTCTCCAAGGTAAAACACAGCACATATAGTAAAACACACACAGCACACAGTTAACCCTTTGATAGCCCAAAAGTTAAAGTGTATCTATGGTCAATATGTAAAATTATTATATGCACTTCCACATTGTATTTCAACTATTTCTAGTCTACTATTAATCTGAATGATTTTGAAACGTGTAAACTTTGTAAGGATCCCCACACATTTACTTCCTTGACTTCACGTTGATGTCATGTAGTCACTATGCCCTGTTTGTAGGCACTGCTGTGTCACACATTTCACAGAGCCTGCCTTCTGAACTACAGAGGTGAGAGGGAAGGAGTTTAAGGAGGTGGAGTCAGTACAGCAATCAGTGCTTGCAGGCAGCAAGGTACCATGGGATATGTAGTCCCTAGAAATTGAAAGTAAGCAGGGAATCCAGGAAGGTGTAGAAAGAGATGGCCAACAGACAGGCAGAACTCACAACATTTAGAGAGATTTTTCATGTCAGCTTATACTGGATTGTCAAATATAACTATTGTTTGTATTATTATTACAATTCTGATGTTCTAAAATGAAAGAGTGTGCTGTAACCATGGAATCCCGTTAAATAACAAAACTGCTGCCAAGCTTACATTAAAAAAAAATCTAAAAGCTTTTCCCTCCATTAGCCTATACAGTGTGTAAGTCATCAGCCCTGAGCTTGTGCAGTAGACAGAACAGCTTCCCTTGGGATCTTGATCACAATGTTACCCTAAGTGGTTTCCAGATTGTTAGAGCAGACAAGGACTGCACAGTGAGTGGCAAGAGGAAGGGAAGGGGGCTTGTTATTGTTGTAGACAATAGATGCGCAACCCTGGGAACATAACTATTAAGCAAAGTGTCTGCTGCCCAGATATAGAATTATTGGTTACAGGGCTTCAACCTTGTTACTTGCCTAGGGAGATTCCAGATGTTATTGTTGTGGCAGTGTATATTTCACCTTCTGCCAATCCAACGTTGGCAAGTGATGTCATCCACAGTATTATTGCAAAACTTCAAACTAAACTAAAGAGAATAGCACCCTGGATATGCTGTATGCCAATGTGAAGAATGCACACAGCTCTTCTCCTCTTCCAACTTTGGGCAGATCAGATCATAATTTGGTCTACCTCAATCCTTGCTTTGTGCCCCTGGTTAAGAGACAATCTGTGACCACCAGATCGGTGAAAAGATGGTCTGAGGATTCCTTTCAATTATTGCTGGGCTGTTTTGAGGGAGTGGATTGGAATGCACTCTGTGAGCCAATAGAAGAGACATTGATGGGCTTACTGAGTGCATAACACATTATATTACATTTCTTTGTAGATTCTATTGTTCCAACAAGAGCTGTTCATTGTTATTCAAAAAACAACTGTGGGTAACAAGAAATATTACAGATATTCTTAATTCTAAGAAGATGGCTTTTAGAATAGGTAATAGGGAGGAGTTAAAAATGATTCAGAGGGACCTGAGGATGAAGATTAGAGAGGCTAAGGAGAAATATAGAAGAAAGTTGGAGTGGAAACCCCAGCAAAACAATGTGAGAGAGGTCTGGTGTAGCATAAGAACCATTACAGGTCTCAAGCCAGTTGGTGGAGGGACTAGGGGAGATGTGGAGAGGGCAAATTACTCTCTACTCCTCATACTAGATGTCCTCCTTTAGTATGTGTTCTGCTTCCTCCGCATTGGATACTTTCACCAGTTGTTTTTATTAGAAGAAAAACTCTACTCCTCCTTGATGGGAAATACATCAATGTCTTTTAGGTGATTAGACAGTTGAGGAGACTTAAGGCAGTAAAATAAGCAGGCCCTGATAGAGTTAGCCCCAGGGTGCTCATGGCATGTGCAGACCAGCTGGGGGGTGTCCTTCACTGGGTCTTTAACCTAAGCCTGGGTCTAGGAAAGGTCCCTTTGCTGTGGAATACGTCTTGCACTTTCATGCACACATAAATAAGCCAGTGAATGCTGTGAGGGTCATGTTTCTTGACTTCTCCAATGCTTTTGATACTATCAGGCTGGATCTCTTCAGCGAGAAGCTAGCAACTATAAAGGTTGACGTTTCCCTTGTGTCATGGATTGTAGACTACCTGACAGGAAGACCACAGTATATGTGTGTTTGCAAGACTGTGTGTTGGATAGGGGGAACAGCAATCTTGGGGTTCCACAGGGGACAATCCTCTCTCCCTTTCTTTTCACTGTCTATACCACTGATTTCAGCTACCAGACAGAGTCTTGCCATCTTCAGAGGATTTCTGATGACTCTGCAGTAGTGGGATGTATCAGGGATGGGAAAGGAGACTGAGTATAGAACTGTGGTGGAGAACTTTGTCACAAATTGTGAGGATAATCATCTGTATCTAAATGTGACTAAGACAAAGGAGCTGGTTGTGAATTTGAGAAGGAGGAAGGCATCGGTGACCCCTGGCTCCATCCGAGGAGTGGATGTAGTAGAGAATTAAGAGTATCTGGGGGTGCACATAGATAATAAGCTGGACTGGAGCAAGAACACTGAGGTGCTCTAAAGGAAAGGCCAGACTTGCCTCTGAGGAGGCTAAGGTCTTTTAACCACTTGCCGTCTGGCCACTGTATATAAAACGGCCTGACGGTGGCAGTCCAGGGGCGGGTTGCCATTCATAAGCAGCGCCCGCCATCAGTGATCACATGCAGAGTAGTAAGCAAGATGTCACTACTGACATCATTGCTTACTACGTGTGAAATCTGTGAATGATCACAGAGGTCACATGGTACAAGGCTATTCACAACAGCCTTGTACCCTGTGACAAGCTGTGACCAATCAGAGCTCACACAGTAGTTTTCAATGGCTGCAAGAATGCAGCCAGAGAGAAGGAGAAATTATTGCTTTTACAGCCTTTATGGGTGTAAAAGCAATCAGTGTGAAAAAAAAAAAAATCATCACCCCCCACAAGTAGTACAGTGTCACCATGGTGACACTGTACTGCTAGGGTGACAGTATGTTAAAAAAAAAAAAAAAATAATATAAAACAAGAAAATAAAAATGTAAAAAAAATATTCTAATTTTTGGTTATAAACTAATTTGGGTTATTTTTTTTTTTACTAAAAAGATAACTGAATACATTTTGGCCAAGATTTATGATGAAATATTATTTATTTGCAAAATTTTATAAGAAAAACACTTTTTTTTTTCAAAATTTTTGGACATTCTCATTTATATAGCAAAAAAAAAAATCCCTGTGGTGAATAAATACCACCAAAATAAAGCTTTATCTGTCTCAAAAAAATGCTAAAAAATTCATATGGGTACAGTGTTGCATGACCGCGCAACTGCCATTCAAAATGTGATAGCGCTGAAAGCTGAAAATTGCCCTGGACAGGAAGGGGGTAAAAGTGTCCGGACTTGGTTAACATCTGCCGGACAATGTTTTATGAGTCTGTGGTTGCCAGTGCTCTCCTGTATACTGTGGCATGCTGAGGAAGCAGGCTTAGAGTGGCTGACACCAACAGATTCAACAAATTAATTTGCAAAGCCAGTGATGTTGTTGGTTTGGAGTTGTGGTCTTTAAAAACAGAGTTGGAGAGGAGAATATTGTTCAAGGTATACTTTGGATTGTTGGATTGTTTTGGATTGTTCAATCTGTGTTATTTATTCTATGTAGTATTTTATTAGGATGGATGGTTTATTAGAGTATAATTTTAGTTTAGTTTTATTTGGAACTAATTGCTGTTATTGGTATTTGTGTTGTGTCATTGTGTCTTGTTTCCGTTCATTGTATTGATCTTATGTTTTCTTCATTGAATGTAACTGTATCTTAATAATTTCCCTTTGGGATTAATAAAGTATTCTGAATCTGAACAGCTCTGCTTTGACAGGAAGAAAATACAAGTGAATAGCAGCACACACAGTTACTCCAAAGGGATAAGACTATGCTATTATAAATTATAATATTGAGAGCAGAACTAGATTCTTACTAATGGCCATTTCTGAATGGTCCTCTTCAAAATATCACCAGCTTCTGATAGGCAGTAACTGTGGGTTTCTATGAGATGGCTGAAAATATCTGCAGTTTCGTAAGTGTTATTTCCTTGACTATGATTGGATAAGAAGTCAAAGAAGTCTGTCACTACGGGAAGGGGGGGGGGGATTTATTGCCTATACACAGACATGCTGGATGGTTTCAAACTCTACACTGTCATGGCGGCTGTGGACAGGAAATTAGTGACTCACGTGCTCCTTTTAGGTACAGCATGGCCTGCGGGGTCCAGTTCCGTCTCTGAAAATGGCTCTAAATAGAAGGAGAAGAAAAGTAGATACATGTTCAGGTAAAACAGAGCTACAAAAATGTGAATAAAACAGTGATCACTTACCTGTGGTAGAGACCCAGAAGGAGGAATAACTGAGGAGGACATTATCAGTAGGAGGGTGCAGGCCGCTCGACACCCACTGTCCTGAGGACACAGAGAGCAGACATCCAATTAGGAAAGCCAGTCCCTGAGACTAAATAAATTACATTATTATTGCTAGTAGAGTCTTGTACGGTGTAAGCCATCAATTACTATAGAATGTTTGGAGTTGTAATAATTCCTTTATATGGCAAACTTATTACAGATGCAAACTTTCTGGCCCTTCCTCAGTCCCTTCTTCAGGAAATTCTGAAACTTGTCAAGAAAAAGTTAAGTTGTATTTTATTAAATGTTGAATTGTTTCCCTTTGTTACTCACTATTTCAATATCTGGGTGCCAAGACTGTTTCCAGAATTGTATGCTTGACAGAAGGTCCCAAGAGCTTGCATCTTTTTTATTATTATTATTATTATTAGGACAAAATTTAAAACTATGGCACAAAGGCAGACATTGTGTAAGGGTATTGACCTATATCAGAACATGGCACTGGGTAGGAGCATAGCACAATGATAGAGCATGGCACTATATCAGACTATTTCACCATTTAAGACTGAACTTTTTCTTTTGTATTTATTTTTTTTTAGACATGTTACTCAGGGCTTTTATAAACCAAGGATGAATAAAATGTGTACAGTATCACAGCCACATCTTCAAGTGGGTTGAAATGCAGTTCTGAAGATCCCTATACAATTGACTTGATATTTAAATAGAAAATGGAATTGATGCTAAAACATTCTCCATATTGTTCTATTCAAAGTATTACTGTATATTGGAGCTGATTTGGCTCAGTGTTCTCTGTACAGCACTATGGAATATGTCAGAGCTGGAAAAATGGATAATAATAAAAGCGTGTGACTGCAGTAGAACATTAGAGTGTAAGCTCTTCTGGTGCAGAGACAGATGTGATTGGCTCAGTGTTCTCTGTACAGCACTGCAGAATATATCAGAGTTATTAAATCTATAATAATAAAATAGTGTGTGACTGTGGAGGGACATTAGAGTGTAAGCTGCTCCTTTATAGAGACTAATGTAAATGGCTCAGTATTCTCTGTACATCACTGTGGAATATGTCAGTTATATAAATGTATAATAATATAATAATAATACCGTGCCACTGTGGTAGGCTATTAGAAAGTAAGCTTCTTTAGTGTGGAGACTGATGTGACTAGCTTAGTGATCTCTGTACATCACTATGGAATAGGTCAGTACTATATAAATGTATAAAAATAATAGTAAGTGACTTGTGGTGCATATTCGAGTGTAAGTTCTTCTGGTGCAGAGACTGTGACTTACTCAAGTCTTCTCTGTACAGCATTGTGTAATATGTCAGAGCTATAGTTTATAATTATAAAACAATAATAGTGTGTGACAGTGGTGGGGGCATTAAAGTGTAAGCTCATCTGGTGAAGAGATTGATATGACTGGCTCAGTGTTCTCTGTACATCTGTACAGGAATGCAGATTATGTCAGAGCTATGCAAATAAAACAGATACTAAAATAATACGGTTTAATAATTTTGGTTTTGGATAACCTGTAATTCAGCAGGGTGGATGCATCACGACCCCCCTCCCCCCCATCCCATTTGTAATATATTTTAGATTACAAAATATAGCCCAGATGACTAGTTGCTGTTTCCATTTTTTCTTTTTTTTTTCCAATCTCCAAGAAATTGTACAGGAAGTAAAATCTTGGAATATTATCTGAATTATTTTACTGATATACACAATATATAATTGTTCTTAAATATTTCTAAATTTTAATTGTGAAAAATAGTCCATTATACTGGACATCTCCTGTTTTCAAATTTCAAGAGTCTGTTTGACAAAACAATCATTCTCTTTTAAAAAAAAAAAATTATATATTTATCTATCTATTGAGAGGGCAAAATATGTATCAGCTAATTTTGCGATGAACTTACAAATTCTTCAAACACTCATGATCAAGCCAAAAAAGGAGAGCATGACATATTTCCTAAAGTCATTTTTTGGAAATATAAATGCATAAGACATGGTATTGGGGAAAATGCCAGCATCACCATTCTAAGAAGAACAAGAATAAAACAAGTTCTATTTTATTTCAACTCAGAAAAATGTTCAGATTCTGGAGGACTTACCTTCATGTTCTGGCCGACGTCGCTGCTTCTTGAGACTTGGTGGACAATTTGGGTCTGGTCTTAATTCTGGTTTTAAATCTGGTTTTAAATAATCTGTGTGCAGCTCTCCCTCCCCTCTCGTGTCCTGAGGATTCATTCAGACTGGTGGGACCACTTGTCAGCCGTTGATTTGGAAGAGGTGGAACCATGGGTCCTCCTCCGGGGATTTCTCATCTCCTTAGAGTGGGCGATATGATTGAGGAATGGACAGTGAAATGTTCCATACTTTGAAGAGATCAAACTCCTCGATACCTACGTCACTGCTGAGGCCAGAGATCAATATCCACTGCTGGAAGCTAAAGGTGATGAACTTAATGAGATTGGACGTGGTCAAATGATTGTATATCAAGATGTCATCGCTAATCGTCAATGAGACAGCGGGGGATTCCATTCAGTATGAACCACAGAGAGACATATCAAACCGGGAAATGTTACAGAATTTCTAGTAAACAGAAATTTATGTTGTAAAAATGCATTCAAAAGCAAAATGTTTTTGATTCTAAATTATTTATTTATAAATTTTGTTTATAAAAACAAAAACCGAAGAACCCTTAATATGACTTCTCTTTTCCAGAAATAAACAATGCACCGCTGTCTGCATCAGGGGTAGTTTTGATTTATCTTCAGTTACTGTTTTGTAGATATCATTCCAGATAACATTGAAGATTCTTATAATAACATTCAAATGGTCAAAACCTTTTAGAACTGGCTGTCAGGGCACACAAATGTTACAAGACGACAAATCAGATCTGGAATAAAATACAAAGAAACGAAGACTCTGAAAAAGACAATGCGAAGACAAATTAGGATAACCATCAAATTGTGTGCAAGCTCCAACTTGCAAATACAAGCCAAAATACCAAAAATTAATCAGAATATATTTTGTGTGAGTTAAAAAAATTTTTTTTAAAGTGACCACAAAATGTTACTAACATTTGATTGATAGATAGATAGATAGCTATAAGATAGATAGATAGCTATATGATCGATGAATGGATAGATAGGTATAAGATTGATAGAAATGATAGATAGTAGATAGATAAAAGTGAGCACAAAATGGTATTATGAGAGAGAGATAGATACAGCAATAGGTGGATAGATAAATTATTATCACACAGATATATATTATAAATACATAGATAATAGTTGGATAGATATACAAGTAGAAGATAGGTACAAAAATAAATAAATAATTGATATATACTGTAGATAAATAGATTTTATGCAGGGTGAACAAAGAATTAAATAGATTGATGTAACATTTAGTTTTCTAGAATTTTTTAACGAAAAGATAGAAATGTCCTTAGGTTGGAGAAATAAACGTTAAACAATTCTTTTTGAGCAGCGCAGAGTTCTCGGTGTCTGCAGTACTGCAACATCAAGACAAACTGGGACAATTCAGTATTCTTTAAAGGTACAGATACTCATTTCCTAGTAGCACCTAGTAGCTTCCTTAGTAGCACACGAGCCTCATCCATCAGCGATGCAGACTTTAAATTAAATACAAGTCAATTGAGTCATGTAAGAGTGCGTCTAAATGGTGGAAGGACTTGAGGCTAAATAATATGACCTTCTGTATTGTCAGGAGTAATTCTGGGCTCTGTCAAAGTGGAGGAGACGCCCCAGAGGGCACACAACACCCAGTATTCCTTCTGTTGTCGGTCAGACATTGATTTGTGCAATTTAGAAGTCTCTACGAATGTGCTGGCCAGTTGGAAGTCACTGCAGCTCTCTGTTTGTCACAGTCCTAATTCAGTTTTTTTTTGTCTTCCAATTTTTAGCAGAAGAGAATTGGGTAATGAGTCCTAGCAAACAGATTCAGAAACAACAAAGGGACTGATTTATTAGAGCTAGAGAAAAGCAAATAAGTAATCTGTAGCTGTTGCTCATAATTATTTAACCTCTTGCCATTCTTGTAATTCATATATGCAACAGCAAGAAAGGTGGTTTTTTAACGCTTTCCAATCATGTGATTGCTGTGAAAACCAATCACAGTGGTTAAATAATACAAGAGCTTAAAGGGTTAAGGTACACAGTTGCAATAAACACATACGTGTTGTTATGTTATGGACATTCAAGTAATAATATATTCATAACAAGAGGTAAATGGGCTTTAAAACAAGCCATCACTGACTTCTGTAGCTGCAAGCACTGTAGAGAAATTCACCTTCAAAGTTCACAACAGAAGCACTACACTCAACTAATTTATTCAGCAACTATGCACCCCCCTCCCAGCAGTGACTGAGCAGCTCAGATTCCCCTGCTCCCCCCTCCCAGCAGTGACTGAGCAGCTCAGCTTCCCCTGCTCCCCTCTCCCAGCAGTGACTGAGCATCTCAGCTTCCCCTGCTCCCCTCTCCCAGCAGTGACTGAGCAGCTTAGATTCCCCTGCTCCCCCCTCCCAGCAGTGACTGAGCGGCTCTGCTTCCCCTGCTCCCCCCTCCCAGCAGTGACTGAGTAACTTGGCTTCTCCTGCTTCCCTCTCACAGTGACTGAGCAGCTCAGCTTCCCCTGTTCCCCCCTCCCAGTGACTGAGCGGCTCCGCTTCCCATGCTCCCCCCTGACTGAGCAGGACCGGGATGTAACAATGCAATATGCATAGAAACCATACCTGGAGTTTGGCTTTGTGGATTAAGATTAGCATTTTTGCTTAACCACTTGCCATCCTGAGGATTTACCCCCCTTAATGACCAGGCCTCTTTTTGCTATTTGGCGCTGCTCTAGTTCAACTGACAATTGCACGGTCATGCAATGCTGTACCCAAAAAAAAATTTATGTCCTTTTGTCACACAAATAGAGCTTTCTTTCGGTGGTATTTGATCACCTGTGCGCTTGGTGTGATTAAAAAAAAAAAAAAAAAATGATATTTTCTCATTTCTGTCATAAAAAAATATCCA